TGCTCATTACCAATATACAGTAATGCTATTGTATTTCTAGAAAAAAAAAAAAAAACTTAACCCTTTACCTTGCAAACTTGTTAAATTCACTAATTATTTTTAAGGTTTTTACAAACCATTAGCATATTTACATAGATGATTATATCATTTGCAAATAAATACGGTTTTCTTTGTTTCTAATTTTTATATGTGTCATTTCTTTTATTGCCTTATTGTACTGGCCAGCAAGCACTTTCATTACAATGTGGAACACAGTTGTTAGAGCAGACATCCTTGCTTTGTTTTTGTTCTATAGGAAAACATTCAATCCTTCTCTGGTAGCAGAGTATTTTGGGGATTGAATGTAGATGCTCTCACATACCAGGCAGGCACTCTACCACTGAGCTCCATGCTGAGTTCTTTTATAAAATTTTAGTTTGAGACAGGGTTTTGCTAAATTGCCTAGGCTGGCCTCAAAATTTCTGTTCTCCAGCCTCAGCTTCCCAAGTAGCTGGGATTATAAGTATGTACCAACATAGTCAACTCTCTGTTTAATATGACATTAGCTCTAGGTTTTAATGAATTGTTTTTGTTGGACTGAGGGAGGTCATTTCTATGTGCTTAATGTTTTTGTCAGTAACCTATATTGGGTTTTTTAAAATGCTTTTTCTTTGTATATTGAGCAATCCTATGTTATTAATGCTTTCATTGAATCCATACAGATATTTTTATGCTAATCCAACACCATCCTGTAATAAACTAGTTGGTCACAATTTATTTTGATTTTTCTATTTTATTTCATGTGTGCTAAACTTTTCTTAAGAATATTTTATTTATGGTCATATTGTAAAGTGGTCTGTGAATGTTTTTGTAATATTATTGTGCCATTTTGGAATGGGACACTTACATTTTCCTTATTTTTCTGTGTGATTTTATATAGAATTGGTTAAATTTTGTCTGTAGAGATTGGGATAGAATTCGCCCATAATTCCTCTGGACCTGAAGTTTATTTGTAGAAATTGTTTCTGTTTTAACTACCAGTTGAATTTCTTTAGACTGTTCGGGTTATCTATCTAGTCCTGAATGAAATTTGGTAATTCATTTCAGGGATTTTGTTTATTGAATTTGTCAGACAATTAAGAGTGTAGAATTTTTTCATAATACTCATATTTTTTTTTAAACTTTGTCTACTAAGACCATAATGATATTTTCTCCTTTATTTTTATTTAACAATTTATGTTTCCCCTTTTGTTCATTATCTCTCTTATTAAAGATTGATTAGTTTTATTGATCTTATCAAAGAACCAGCTTTCGGTGTCATTTTTTAATCTCTATTATTTTGTATTTGATTCATATATTTTTAGATTTATTCCAATTTCTTTCCTTTCTCCTATTGTTTTAACTTTAATTTTTTCTTCTTTTTCTAAACTTTTAAGTTGGAATCTGATTTCATTTGTTTGAAACCTGTCCTTTTCCTAAGATAGGTGTTTTAGTGCTATTATTCTACTAAGCACTGCTCTGTCTTGTACAACTTTTGATATACCGTTTTTACTTATTCAGTTCAAAATAGTTTATCATGTTAGTTTGCATTTCTACTTTAACCCATAGATTATTTGTTATTATGTTATTTAGTTTTCAAATATTCAGGGTTTTCCCAAGTGTCTCTCTAATGTTGGTTTCTAATTTCACTGTGGTCAGAGAATATAACTTTTATGATTTTTATGGATACTGAGATGTGTTTTATGGTCCAAAATATAGTGTATCCAACACATATTTCATATGTATTATAAAAAATGGAATACAGTATTCTATAAATGTAAGTTTGGCCAAGTTAATAGATAGATACTTCTATTTAAGTTATATATTTACTGGATTTCTAGATATATTGTTAAAATTTTTGTTTCAATGCTCAATTACTATATCTAAAAAGAAATAGTTGTTTGGCAAAATTATCATTTCATCTATTTTGTCATTTTTACATTTTTTGAAACATTTCTTCAATCTTGGCTGAAAGCCAAAAGTTCTTACATGATTTTAAGGCTTTCAATAGTTTTCTGTCTTTCTTTGAAGAGAATAATGCATTACTGTTTGAATAAAATATTTGTTCTTATTTCCCAAGACCTTATGAATTCAATTTTTCCCAATAATTGTAGTTTTAGAATCTGAGATACATTTTCTAGGCATCTAATTAACTGAAACTTCTCAAAGAAGGATTCAAAATATCCTTCAGGAAATTAAAGAAAATTCTTGTAAGTTAAAGAGAATTAGGTGAAATGTCAAAACAAAATCGAGAATCTATAAACCCTACAATTAGTTTTACCTTAAAATGTAAACAACTTAATTCTTACTGTTGAATCTAATAGGCCATAATAAAACAATAGCTTGGTTTCGGGGGGACTTTTAATTTTTATATAATTGCAAATGTCTATAAAAATTGGCTGGACATGTTGGTGCATGCCTATAATCCCAGTTACTCAGGAGGATTAAAAGTTTGATGCTAATCTGGGAAACATAGGTAGACCCTGTCTGAAAATAAAATGAGAAAAATATTGGGGATATAGCTCAGTGGTAGAGGGCTGACCTACCATGGGTGAAGCTCTGGGTTCAATCCCCAGTACTGAAAAAACAATGTGTATAGCAAGCAAAGCTATAATAATAATACAAATATTTCCTACATAGTTTTTGCTCAGATTCTTCAATTGTTTTCATTTATGTACTTGATTTTGCAGATTATACTTTCAGACTAAATATTGAAGAAGGAGTTGGAATCCCGAAAATACCTGTACATCCTATTGGACATAATGATGCAGAAATATTACTACGGTATATAGTTTTTTTAGTTGGATATGAGAGGAAGACATTTTGTCATTTTCTCATCTAAAACCAATAAAACCCAATTGTGTTAAAAGTAAAGTCTTGTATCAAAATAATTCCTGAAGTAGGAATGATGGAACACACTTCTCTTCCATAACAGGAGCAGTCAGTTTAGTGACTAGGAAATAATTAAACATTGCTCTGGTTGCTCTAAATGAAATTCTCAAATGCAAAGTTATGTTTAAAGATAAAAATGGATACTGGTTTGAGATTTGTTTTCAGGTATTTGAATTTACTTAGATATTCAATAAATACTTATTTATACCCAACCTGTAGTTTAGAAATACGATCATGCTTACCACTTACTAGATGTATGATCTTGGACCAATTGATTCTTCTCTGATTCAGTTTGCTTATTTATAAAACAAGGACAGTAAATTTTCTCCCTGATGGGGTTGTCATTAATTTATACTAGTTAGCATAGTGTCTAGAATATAGTAAATTAATGTTTGCTCATACTGTATTCTGTAACTGAAGTTTCTTTACGTATCTCCCAACCCATTGTTTAAATGTTTCTGCCAGAACAACTTCATGATTTCTTTATGGGTACACACTACATAGTTGACAGCTTCTTTAAAATTCATTTCTTCCTAACCCAGTTATGAATTTCCTAATGTTGGATATCTTATACTCACTGTTTCCCCACAGAAGTAAGATCAAGGGTGAGGAGACTTTTGCTTCCCATCTGCCTTCACTATTATATGTTTTTCCTCCTCAGCTCTTAGCACCAAAATATTATATATTTTACTTATTTGCTCCAGTTATGGCTCTCTCATTAGAATAAAAGCTCCTCAGAATATAGAATAAAAGGGGTTTGGACAAGTTGGTCAATAAATAATTCTTAGTTGTAGAGTGAAATATTACCTCAGCATGAACTTCTTGATTTTTTTTTTTTTCATGGAAATGGTGATACTCAGCCTTTTTCTGTCATCTCATTCTCTCTTGACAGCCACTTGGGAGGAACTACTCCACCAGATAAGAACTGGAAGGGAGCTCTTAATGTGAGTTACAATGTAGGACCTGGCTTTACAGGGAATGAGTCTTTCAGGTAATTTTTTATTACTTTAATAACTTGGAAAAGTTTTATATTTCAATGGAAATGTGAAGATAACTGTTCCACCAGGCATATTTTGCTTATATCTTTTTCTTATTGTCACTAGTGAAAAATTTATCATTTTATATCACTTAAGAAGAACTTACAGAATGAACCATTGAATTCCTTCCCCCCGCCCCCGGCGAGCTGGGGATTGAACCAAGGGATTCACACATGCAAGGCAAGCACTCTATGACTGAGCCACATCCCTAGCACCATGAATCAATGAATTTTTATAGTAATATTTCAGCATTAGTTTCAGAATTTCATCAATTACTGTATTTGAATTATAGACTTAACATTTCAAGTAATAATTTTTAAACTTTCCTTTCACCTAAAGTTTAAATTTTTTTTTTTTCCAATAACTTTCAGAATGTTATATATGTATGTGAAACATTAGGTTATGTTAAGGGAGGGAATATTGGAGAACAGAGAAAGGAGCCAACAATTATTGGTTATTTACTGTGTATTAAGTGAGTTTAAATGAATAGATCATGTAGCTACTATAAAGCTCAATAGACTCATTGTTTTGAACACATGAAAGCATCATTCTAGAGGAGGAGTGTTGTGGAATGTATCTGTTAAGTTAGATCTACAGAAAGAATAAAAATTTCCAAATGGCTCAAGGCAGGCAGGAAATGCTAGCTACCGTGTGAACTTGGAGAGAGTTTGTGGAATGGCCCTACATGATTAGAACTAAGAAGTTTGATTCACTTAAAATGTTGCAGGAGAGGGAAATGTCACTGATAAATCATAAATGCCATAGCTTGCTTTTTTTGTTTTGTTTTTGTTTTTTGTTTGGTTTGGTTTGGTTTGGTACCAGGGATTCTACCCAGGGGCACTTAACCACCCCACCAAGTCTCATCCTAAACTCTTTTTATTTTTTAATTTTTGAGACAGGGCCTGACTAAGTTGCTTAGGGCCTTGCTAAGTAGCTGAGGCTGGCTTTGAATTCCCAGTCCTCCTGTGTCAGCCTCCAGAGTCACTGGGATTATAGGAGTGCACCACCATGCCCAGTGTGATAGAATGTTTTTTAGTTTTTGAAATTCTTTTTATTTCAGAAAGGTTAAAGTACTAGGTTAAATTCAACTTCCTTCCTTGATAGGAACTTCAGAAGCATTCAGTTTCTGTGTTTATTAATCTCTATAATCAATCACTATAGAGTTCCTTTAATTTAAGAGACTATTTAGTTTATTTATGTCTTCTGAAGGGAAAAAAACACATAATATAACAAAAAGTAAAAATCTATCTGATTTACAAACCAGAGTATACAGACACAAAACATAAGTTCAGTTCTATAATTTCAGTCATAGTTCAAGAGTAAACTCAAAAACATAAGAAATCCCAGGTCTAGATATCAAATACACTGTTCTCCACTGTGGATACAAAATTTTTGATGGATTTGAGATTACAATGCACAATGAACAATGTTAAAAATTCCTAAAACTAGATTCTTTCCTATCTCTCCTACCACAGAGATCTTCAGAATTCATTGATTCACTTAGATAACCAAATGATAAGACATAAAGTGAGATTTCTAATCATTGCTGCTACCAGTGAATAATAGCTTATTCTGATCTAAGCAAAGAGGAAACATAAACGAAACACAAAACCAGTAAGGAAAAAAGTAAAACTAGACATATGGCATGTCAGCAAAGTTGGGAGAGCCACAGAAAATATGAAGAATGAGTTTCAACTGACTACATCTGTTCTTCAAGATGAATCTACCGTTTGTTTCAAAGGGCCCTCTAAAATAATGAAGGATAATTTAAAAACTGATTATTAGATGAATGTAAATGAACATGTATTACAGATTTCATTTAACTTTAGTTAATAAAAAAATCCAGAATTATGTTAAAAATGGTTCAAAAGGCCAAGTAGATAATTCAGTGGTAGAGAACTTGCCTAGCATGCCCAAGGCCACAGGTTCAGTCCCCAGTACTGGAATTAATTTAAAAAAGAATGGGTTCACGTGGACATGGCAGTGTACACCTCTGATTCCAGAGGTTCTGGAGACTGAGGCAGGAGGATTTTGAGTTCAAAGCTAGCCTCTACAACTTAGTGGGACCTTAAGTAACTCAGTGAGACCCTGTCTATAAATAAAATACAATGAATAGTAGGGATGTGGCTCAGTGGTTAAATGTCCCTGAGTTCAATTCCTGGTACCCTTCCAAAAGAAAGAATGGGTTCAAAGAAGAATTTACAGATAATACCAAAATATATCAGTTCATCAGGAATGTCAAATTTAATCAAGAGTAATTAATATACTTAACAGTAGGAAAGCTGGCATATTTCATAATAAGGGAGGATTCAGATGAAACTTCACTAGATACCAATTCATTGGACATGAATTATTTGTGGTACAGAGTTGTAAAATAGTCTAGTTGAAGATAATAAATGAGAGGAATTCATTACGAGTGATATAGCATCTTTCCCAATTTTCCCTTACAGGAGTATATTCATTCATTTCACAAATATTATTGAACATTTACTAAACTCCAGGTGCCATTCTGGGATCTTGGGGTTCAGAAGTGAACAGAGGAGGCAAACAGCCCTATCCTATGGAGCCTACATCCCAGAGATCAGTTTGTTTGGGATGCATTGAGTTTGCAGTGATGATAGGATAAACATGCAGATTTTTTTTTTTTTTTGTACTGGGAATTGAACCCAGCTACATCCTGAGCCCTTTTAAGTTTTTATTTTGAGACTTAGGCTTGCTCAGTTGCTTAGGGCCTCAATAGTTGCTAAGGCTGGTGTGATTACAAGGGTGTGCCACCACGCCTGGCTCACAGATATTCATTTGAATAACTCTCAAGGTCAAAAATACTAAAAATAAAAAAGATATAAAGATTAAAGACTTAGATGAGATTCTTTGAGAGTCTGAGCAGATGGTCTATGTTTGTTTTCATGTTTGGACTAACATTTTTCTTCAGTTCTCATTTGTTACATTAACTCTTAATTTTCTTATTTTAATGACATAATATCAATAAATTTTAGCTTCTTACTAGTCATATATTTTAGGATTATATTTTTAGAAACATGCTAAACAATATTTCTGTATTTATATATTATCATAATCATCATCCTCATTATCATTTTTGATGCTGGTTATTGAACCCAGGAACTTGCTCATACTAAGCAATGCTGTACCATTGAGCTGCACCCCAGCTGTGTTATGAATTTTTATCTCTCAGTAGCAAAAATAATTTACTTAATGCCTTAAAATGTAAAAACCATTGAATAGTTTTCTCTCCATGGTACTTTTAGTTGAATGCTGCATGTGGATTAATTGTGTATTCTGAAACACACTGTAATTTGGTGGGAGACAGAATCTGCACTTAACAATATACAGGTTTTGACAGCTTCATTGTTCTTCCATTTAAAAATAATCACAAATTGAAACCAACTGGTGCCTCCATCCCCAAAATAAATAAAGGCTTATTATGTTCTCTTGTGAATAAATGGCTCAACATTTTCTCATGTCATTCTGGATTCATGAAACTTTTTTTTTTCCCTATCTGGCAGAGCTTGATTGTACTTTTGCTTTTTTTCTAATTTGGTTAGTTTATATTCATGAATGACTATTTAAAATCGGAATCAACAATGAGATTCTGAAAATTTTTTATTATGTAATATGCATTTTAGCAGGAGCTTCTCAAGTTGTCATTTAACAGAATTTATCATGGTTCTCACAGGCAGCACTCAGGCAGTTCTTTAACTGTGTACCTAGGGATTACTTTCATAGTCTTGTAGAAAGTTATTGAACAGTAGGAATTAATATAATTAATACAGTCATGCATCACTCAATATGAGAATATGTTCTGAAAAATGCATATTAGCAATTTCATTGTTGCTTGAACATTGGAGAATGTACTTAGACAAACCTAGCTGATTTGCATTAAACACAAGATTAATGAGGCTTCTGCCAGTGTAACATGGAATAGTATTTTATAACCAACTTACTTTTAATAAATAGAAGGTATACATTATCAAGAAATGATAAAAATAATATTATGTACTATGCATAATTGCACATGCTACACTTTTATATGGCTGGCAGTGCAATAGGTTAGTGGACAGCAGCATCTCCACAAATGTATGACTACTATGTTAGGCTATGACATTACAGCAACTATAATGTTACTAGACAATAAGGATTTTTCAGGTGTATTATGATCTTATGGGACCACCATCATAGATTATAAAGGTAAATGTTCAAATAATAGGCTTATGTTCCTTCTGTTTATTAATTAATAATAGGATGTCTTCATTAATGTTTTAATACTTAAAGTAAAATGTATTTAAAATTTTTTGAATAAATGCCAAAGATATTTAATAGACTACTTAGAATTGTAAATAAGTATCCATAAAACAGCTCTGAGAAGGAAGAATATAAATATTAGGTAGTTTTGAAATACTGACTTCAAATTGCATGCTTAAATACTTAGGTGTAAATTGTCACAATGTCTGCAACTTCCTTACAAAGCAACTCCCTTACAGAGCATTCAATATTAAAGATTGTTGAATTTAGGTGATTGATATACATATTTTTATTCTTGTATAATTTTCTGTAGTTTTGTGATTTTTCATAATAAAATGTTGGAAGAAGGGCTGGGATTATAGCTCAGTAGTAGAGCACTTGCCTATCATGGGTGAAGCACGGGGTTCAATTCTCAGCACCACACATATCTAAGTAAAATAAAGGTTCATTGACAACTAAAAAAAAATGTTGGAAGAAAACTGTAAAACTGTAAATATAATACCATATTTGAAGTGATTCATTCCTTTTAAAATTCTAGGAAAATTAGAATGCAAGTTCATAACACCAATAAAATTACAAGGATTTACAATGTAATTGGAACTATTAGAGGATCTGTAGAACCTGGTGAGTAATCAAATTCTTTTAGCAGTTTTTACAAAGATTAAGTGTAAGAAAATATAAACTTCAGTCATCAATTGATATTTTTCTGACTTATTTGCAACTACTAAATTTGGGAAAAATTGTACAACTCTAAAGGTTTTACTTTTTGCTGATTATTTTTTTGTGGGAGAAACTCAAGCAGTAGGAAGTTTAATTTAAAGACATACATTACAGATATTTATAATGTATTCAAAGTTTTTGTTTTCCAGACAGGTATGTTATTCTGGGAGGGCACCGTGACTCTTGGGTGTTTGGAGGTATTGACCCAACTACTGGGACAGCCGTTTTGCAAGAAATTGCTCAGAGTTTTGGAAAATTGATAAGAAGAGGTAAGTGATAAGAGAATGTGACTTCCTTATATTTCCTTTATTCCTAGGCAGGTGTACCTAACTCTGTATTTTAACAATGATTACAGGCTGGAGACCTAGGAGAACCATCATTTTTGCCAGTTGGGATGCAGAAGAATTTGGACTGCTGGGTTCTACAGAATGGGCTGAGGTAAATAAGATGCCCAAGGTTCTTGTTATTGTTTTGATCAACAAAGAACAAATATATATCTCAGGATGAGCACAGCTAGACTCCATTACTTTATATGGTTTTAATTTGGAGAGTGATTGGAGAGAATTTAAGAAATAGAATTTGTTTTTACTTTCTTATTAGTTTGGCAAAACAGAATAGCCTCTTAGTCAACAAACAAATCTACTCAAATCTATTTGCATTTGTTTTGTGAAAATAAAATCAGTAACTTCAACATTAGGAAGCATTTTTTACATGTAAATTGAAACTAATTTTCAAATTTTTAAAGTTTCCTTGGAGGTCTTCTGGGAAAGTTTATTTAATTAAGATGGTTATATTCTGATAATTATTTCACATTTACAAATTCCACATAAAATAGCAACCATAGTTACATTTTGCTTTTTATAACATATATACCATTTGCTAAAGATATATATGTTGTAAAAGGATATATATAAAATGATAACTTTGTAACTTGGATTACTTTAGTAAATCAATTTACTGTGTAGTTTCACAGGTTCATTTTTCCTTGAGAGATGATTGATTTTCATTCATAACTGGCTCTGAATTCTCTAAGTGTCATATGCTCCTTTCTTTTGTTTCTTTCCTATGCCTCCCTATTGAGTAATCTCTAAGTTCTTCTGTGTTTGAGGTGAGCTCATACATTTTTATAAATTTAGGTGCACTGTGAAAGTACTTGCTATCTTTCTACCCTGTATTTAACTTTTGTCAGTCCAGATTGTGTAGAGTTCTTATGAAGCATGCATATGTGTTTTGCATTGTGTTTAGTTTAAAAAAAATGCCTCCCTCTTGACTCATTTCCTCTTGCATTATTTTAAATTTATAAAAATAATACAAATCAAGTAATCATGAGAATACAATCATGCACATAGATACTTATCTGATATCACTTATGCTTTGTTGATCATATGCATGTTGTAGATTTTAATTTTTACATTAGTATTCTGAAGGCATGTTGGAAGAACATTACTTTAGATGAATCAAATATTAATTAAGATAATTTATTTTTAGAAATATGTAATTTCTTATGATATATATATATATATATATATATATATATATACACATGTCTGTTTCTTTAATTTCAGAAGCTCAGAGTAAAGAAATTTACAACAGAAAGTGATTAATATGTTTTGCATTAACTTATATAAATAGCGATTAAGAAATAATACTTGTTCTAGTTTATTACTAGACTCTTTATCATATTCAACAGCATACTTAACTCTTATAAATACACATGAGAAATCTTCTTTATTTCCATTATAAACCTGTTATAGTGGAAGCTCTGAGTACATTTCTATGTAATGAAAAGGCAGCTATCATCTTGCCTTTGTAGGCAAGAGCAAAGAGGTGACAGTTATTTGGGCCTAGCCATACCGCCTTAAATGTTTTTACTATAACTTATTCTCATGAGGAAGAAAGCTTGAAAGAGAGGTAAAGGGCTCTCTCAGCATGGTCCCTTCTGTGTATGTGTGTGTATATGGCAGAATTACTTTTGTTCAAACCTGTCACTCCTTCTTTCCACCATTTTTTTCCTCTGTTCTTTTTTATTTTTCACTTCTTTATATTTTTATTAACATAGTATGAAAATTTTCTATTTTTGCTTTTAAAATGGTAACTTTACATGGGTATTCACTCTTAGTGAATCTCAACAGGAGTGAAGATTAATTCTCAGGGATACCTGTTGATACAGATTTCCAGGCCTCACATTGAGCATTTCTGATTTAGTATATCGGGGCTGAGTCCCCAGAATCTGGGAACCTCATCCCTACATCTGTTGATTCAGGGAATCAAAGAACCACATATTGAAAATGTTTCTTTTCCTTTGGGGCTCTCTGCTATTAGTATATATATATTAGATACTGATTCATAGTAATCTTCTTTCTTGTTTTAATTGCATAATGTTTTCAAACAACCAATTATCAACATTTTCTCAGAAGCTATGGTCACAGGCAGGTGTGAGTATTTTGTTATAAAGATATTTGCAGATCACTCTTCCACAAAACTATTGTGCTTATTTTGTTTACATTTTTATGATAGTAAATACTGTGAATTAACAACTTTGCTTCAACTATAGGAGAATGTAAAAATACTCCAGGAGAGAAGTGTTGCTTATATCAATTCAGATTCATCTATAGAAGGTAAATTTTATTTCATTTTTAAGTAAGATGTTTAGAAAGTAAATTTTACTAAGAGTAATTTTCCTTTATGGTTATTATGCATTATGTGTCCTTTAAGTCTATAAATTCCAACTTATTATCTATTTCAGATATTCTGTTGCTATGAGACTTCTCAGTAATAACTTAATTTTCTATTTTACCATGGAGAAAATAATGATTCATATCAATTATTGGGAATCATAACTAACCTATTGCTCTTAGTTTCTTTGTTATATTTACCATATTTATTTGTCTATCTTCGTCTACTACTTAAACTCTAGTATTAACCACATTTTTGCTATGGATAGATTAAATAAATTTTGGTAAAAATATTCTATGGAATATTTCATACAGAAATATTTTATACAGATATATTTCCTATTTTAAAACAGTTTCTTAAAAAGTATAAAAAGACAGGAATATTTCCTGTATTTATTGGAATATGCACAAACTATTTCCTTTTGAATTTGACATATGTATGTCCCTAGTCTTTTGTTGAATTTTAATTTTTCTAGATGAATGTTAGAGCATACATACATACTCTAATATCTTAATATGTAATATTGAAATGAATGAGTGAATACAGAGGGAATTCTGTAGCCTTATCCTGCTTTTGCCTAAGAGAGATACTGCCATAAGGATGAGGTCTGAATTGTGTGGGAGCTCTTGCCTCAGACACCAAAGGCCATTTACTCCTTTTTCAGCCCAAAATATGTATGGCAGATTCTCCTATTCCTGGAGAGAAAATTCTACCCTCTTTTATTCCATGGGAATGACGCATTTGATATAAAGACTGTTATATCTTATTTAAAATTTTAGAATAATGTTAGAATTAAGCACAATTCAAGTTTCATTGGAAGTATGAAATAGTAGTTTCATTTATTTTTCAGGCAATTATACTCTCAGAGTTGACTGTACACCCCTTCTTTACCAGTTGATGTATAAACTGACAAAAGAGGTATATAAGATCTGTCTTACTATGTTTTCTGATGAATGGATACATGAATAACACTTTTTTCCCTTAAGCAAGTGGCACTTAATTTTAAGTTGGTGACAGAATATGGTTGACTCATATAAAGGACAAATAAAAACAAAACTTTTAATATGAAATTTACTATGTGACATAAATGTGAAGATAGTATTTCCAGTCTGTTCTTTCTAATAATGGTGCTTATTAATTGTATCCTAACTTATAATGTATAGTAGGCTCAATATTAATCTGACAGAGCATTTTGTTACACTGAAAAGAACATTGAACTGCTACAGAAAAATCTCAGAGTTCAAAAAATTGTGTTTCCCAGCAACTCCTTTCATACAACAAATATAAACTGGGTGGTTACTTTGTCAGGTCTCATAAGATGAAGTTTGGCAGCGACAATGATAAAAGTAGAAGACCATCAAAACTAAAAACTTTGAAAGCTAGAGAGGACACAGACTCACCATTTTGCCCTGGCTGGTCTTGAACTCCCAGGCTTGGGCAGTCCACCAGTCTCAGCCTCCCCAGAAGCTAGAACTGTAGGAATACCATTGTGCCTGGAACCCAGATTGTTTCTAACCTGAGGACTTGGTACTGAGGATTGAACCCAGGGGCACTCAACCACTGAGTCACATCCCCAGCCCCCTTTTGTTATTTTATTTAGAGACAAGGTCTTAGTGAGTTGCATAGGGCCTTATTAAGTTGCTGAGGATGGCTTTGAACTTGCTATCCTCCTGCCTCAGACTCCCAAGTCACTGGGAATACGGGCTTGTGCCACCATGCCCAGCAAATATATAGTTTTATAATGGAATAAATTTAGTTGTTTCTGTTCTTAATCACCAGTATTTGATTATCTTTCTAGATGTCTAGCCCAGATGATGGTTTTGAGAGTAAATCACTTTATGAAAGCTGGTTGGAAAAAGACCCTTCACCTGAAAATAAAGGTTTTCCTAGGTAAATCACTTACATTCAGCTTTTCTTCCATAAATTCCCCTCTGCCCCACACTTCCCCAAACATGTAATCCTCATATGTATCATCAATAATTGGAGTGAATTTTTTAATGTATATATATATATATATTTAATTTATTCTGATTTGTTATACATGATGGCAGAATGCAATTCATTTCATATTATACATTTAAAGCACACTTTTCAAGACACTGATTGTACACAGAATATTTTCACACCATTCTTGTCTTATACATGTACTTAGGGTAATGATGTCTAACTCATTCCACATCATTCCTACCCCATTGCCCCCTCCTTTCCCCTCCCTCCCCTTTGCCCTATCTAAAGTTCCTCCATTCCTTCCATGCTCCTTCCCCCAATTGCCATTATTCATTAGTATCATCATATCAAAGAAAACATTCAGCTTTTGGTTTTTTGGTGTTGGCTTGCTTCACTTAGTATTATATTCTCCAACTTCATTTACCTGCAAATGCCATGATTTTATTCTCTTTTATTGCTGAGTCATGTTCCATTTTGTATATATACCAAAATTTCCCAATCCATTCATCTACTGAAAGGTATCCAAGTTGGTTCCACAATTTAGCTATTGTGAATTATGGTGCTATAAACATTAATGTTGCTGTGTCCCTGTAGTATGCTGTTTTTAAGTCCTTTAGGTATAGACCTAGGAGTGGGATAGATGGGTCAAGTTGTGGTTCCATTCCCAGTTTTCCAAGGATTCTCTATTCTGCTTTCTATATCAGCTGCACTAATTTGCAGTCCCACCAGCAATGTATGAGTGTACCTTTTCCCCCACATCCTCGCCAACACTTATTGTTGATTATATTCTTAATAGATCCATTCTGAATGGAGTGAGACAAAATCTTGGAGCAGTTTTGATTTGCATTTCTTTAATTGCTAGAGATGTTGAACATTTTTTTCATAAGTTTGTTGATTGATTGTATATCCTTTTCTGAGAAGTGTCTCTTCAGTTCTTTGGCCCATTTATTGATTGGGTTATTTGTTATTTTGGTGTTAAGGTTTTTTTAGTGCTTTATATATCCTAGAGATTAGTGCTCTGATGTGCTTGTGGGAAAGAATTTATATGTCCTAGAGATTAGTGCTCTGATGTGCTTGTGGTAAAGATTTGCTCCCATCCTGTAGGCTCTGTATTCACCTCACTGATTGTTTCTTTTGCTGAGAAGAAGCTTTTGAGTTTGAATCCATCCCATTTATTTATTTATTTATTTATTTATTTATTTTTGTGCTTTAGGAGTCTTGTTAAGGAAGTCATCTCCTAAGGCAACATGGTGAAGATTTGGGCCTGCTTTTTCTTCTATTAGGCACAGTTCTTAATGCAAATATAATATTACATTCTGCTTTATTGACTCACCGTTAGTTCACAAAAAAATCTTCACATCATTAGATCATGTATGTATATGCATGTGCATATGTACAGTGATTTTAATTATATGGAAATAAATATATTATAAATAGATTTGTTTTTGGAATGAAATGAGGTACACATAGATTCTTCATGATCTTAAATATAGATTTCCTTGTGGCAAATTTCACATTGGACTGTAGTTCTCCGATGTAGGCACCATAGCTACATTGCTTTGCACTTTTCTTAGATGCTGAAAATTTGGAAGATGGCTTCATCACTAGGCTACAAGTTTTGATGACACTGCCAATCTCTGGTTGTCTTCAATGCAGATTTATAAATTTATTACAGTAATTTTCCAATGTATGCTAGGAAAAAATTACCTTGAAGGCTATTAGCTTGTACTAATCCTTGTAGTACATATACTACGTAATTTCTTACTACTCTTGGGGTAAGATTCATTAATCATCTGCTTAACTTTGTGTTATCTAATTATATATTCATGTATGCATGTATTTTTATTTATTTTTCCATATTTTACATCTAGAATCAACAAGCTGGGATCTGGAAGTGATTTTGAAGCTTATTTTCAGAGACTTGGAATTGCTTCAGGCAGAGTTCGTTACACCAAGAACAGGGTAAGCCACTTTATTATTTTCAATATATAGCATTTGTGTTAGTCAGCTTTCCATTACTGTAACAAATACCTGAGGTGAACAACTGATAGAGAGAGGTTATTTGGACTCAGCATTTGGGAGAATTGTGTCCATGGTCAGTGGCATCATTGGTTTTGGGCCTGGTTGAGGAAGCACATCTTGTGGGAACACATGGTGCAGGAAAGCTGCTGACCTAATTACAGCTGGGAAGCCAAGAGGGAAATAAGAATAAGAAGTATTGTCACTATCCTTCCAGGCTATCATGCCCCAAAGACCTAAGACCTCTCACAAGGCCTACTTCTTAAAAGTTCTGCTACCTTCTAGTAGTGCAACCTGAGGACCAACCCTTTAACTCATGGGACTTTGGGGGACATTTCAGTTCTAAACGATAGCAACAATGTAATGAATCCACCTTCCATTGGTGAGGAACTGTTTTCTGAGTTGTTCCGATAGACATGTGGCCTGGGAAGAACTCCAGGGATGCAGACAGACTGCCTGCTCTTTTAGATAAACCAGGAAGTAATTTGGATTATTTTGTGAGTATTTCACTACTAGGTTTATTCACTGAAATGGCAGTTCACAGAGTAATGCCACATGGTTATCAGTAGTAGGTAATTCATATTCTTTTCTTGATTCAGGGTAAGTTGGAAAAATCTCATCTTCTAGCCTAGTTTTATTTATTTTTTCCTAGCCTCATCTTGTAGGCTCTGATGTCCTTTTCCTGAGGAAAATGCAGTCGGAGGATGTATTTTGTTTGAGGGGTTCACTAGTATTATCTATTGTCAGTAGCCCCTCTTCATATTCCAAATCCTGCCTATCATGAGTCCAGGACTTCTGCGTAAAGAACAGCAAATTTCTCTTAATTATTAACTTGATATTATTCTTCTCTTCTGCAGTGTCTATTTTGCATCCTTGTCACCTAAGCACCTGGATGATATAGTTAACTTGGATATAGTCAACATACCATATTGACTTGTCTATATTATAAATTAAACCATAAATTACACTAAGATTACATTAGTAAACACAGATTTTCACAGCTTTTAATCAATTTTCAAATCAAAAGTGCAACACACCAACATCTTGTATGTTGATAATATGTATCCATTATAAAATTGACAGTCCAAAATATAATTAAGAACAAAGAATTAAGCTAGAACAGTTCCAGAATATTACAAAATAGAAGTATAAATTCTGTATACTAATATGCCTTATACTTAATACAGTTGACCCTTGAACAACATGGGTTTGAACTGCATGGGTTCATTTATATGTAGATTTTTTTGGAGATTCACTACAATTTGAAAAATGTACAGATGAATAATGTAGCCTCCCTGTCAAAAAATACACATAAAAGATTAGGTATGTCATGAATACATTAAATGTATTTAAATAATAGTCTGTGTTATTATTTACTACCAGGAAAGTTTATTATAACTATTTAGAATTTATCAAAACCAACACACACAAATACTTAAGGAGACCTGGTATCATTTGCAGGAGAAAGAAATATAAACATGTAAAGAAGTATTAAAATTAATTATAGTCTACACTATACTATAATAATTTCATAGCTGTGTTCTATTGTATTGTGGTGAGCTTAAGTGTTGCGAGTATCTGTTTCAAATGCCATATGACACTAATCATCCCTGCATTATCAGTTGTCTCTCCAGTAAGTTGCATAGCATAATAAAAAGTAATCTTTTCTGATTCTCACATATTTTCACTATATAGAATACATATAACACACAAAATATATGATAATTGTTGTTGTTTTCAGTAAGGCTTCCTGTCAATAACAGGATATTAGTAGTTCAGTTTTTGGAGAGTCAAAAGTTATCCTTGAATTTTGAAATATATGTGTGGAGACAAATCAGCATCTCTAACACCAATGTTGTTTAGTGGTCAACTGTACATAAAAGGTGAGCTTTTAATTCATTTTCAAGGCCTTTTCACTTCTGTACCCTGTCATCAATTTGAGCAGTTATGTAGTTTCTAAGACCACTACAGATTAGAAACAGACAATTAGAAGGAGAGTGACCAAGACAAAATTTTTTCTAGTGATACTAAATAAGAATGATAATATGAATGATAACCCTATAACAAGGTAGCAGGTGCTAAACTAAACTTAGGTAGACTTAAGAACTAAAATTATATATATATATATAAAAATATATATATATATATATATATATATTCTTATACGATCCTACTATACCATAATTAATGTTCATTATAGTAGCTCTTAATTATATAATAAAGGTTAAATGATTTGGTTATATACTTCTTGGGGAGGGAAGACATTAAATACACCATTGTTCAGTTGAATAAATACTTAACTGCCAAACACCTTTAATTCCCAAGTGATGGATAATTTCAAACTGCTAATGTGCAGATCGCATATATATTCCTTAATTTTAGTTATTAGAAATACAATAAAGAAAAACTTCAAGCAGCGGCATTTTGAATAAAATCTGCATGAATATAAAATGAATAGAGGTAAAATTTTAAATCAGTGAATTTTTGGTTGCAATATTTTAGTTAATTAAATTTCAATATTTTTGCTTTATTGTGTTAAAACTCAGGATACATATTAATTCTTCAGTCACTTCTCTTGATTACATAAAATATTTTAATTTGAATAAATATCCAATTTTATTTTATACTTGAATCTTCTCTTTTTTAGAAAACAGATAAATACAGCAGCTACCCTGTATATCACACAATTTATGAAACATTTGAATTAGTAGAGAATTTTTATGACCCCACATTTAAGAAACAGCTCTCTGTGGCTCAATTACGAGGAGCACTGGTATATGAGCTTGCAGAATCTATAATCATTCCTTTCAATATTCAAGACTATGGAACAGCTTTGGAAAACTATGCAGCAAGTATCTTCCACTTATCCAAGAAATATGACCAGAAATTGAAAGACGAGGGGGTATCATTCGGTAAGACATTTTATAATCTTTAAGGTAGTGCTTGATGATATTACCTTTTATGATCAATAGATACTGTTTCATTCTAGAATTAGTCATAATTACTTATTTTGCCTAACTAATTCTTTTACACAAAAATAAACATCTACCAAATTCGGAATCTGATTTAATCTGATGTGTCTAGAATGAATCCATTATGGCTGAGTTAGTGCTACAAGCAGTGGATTGGTAAATATTCCTTATACTATACTGCCTTTAAGAACACTTTTCACTTTTACAAAAGCAAAGTGAAGAAATTGTAAAAATATTGAAAAGTAGAGAAGGCCACCAGTTCTACTACATATATGTATTAAACATTCTCATTGAATATTTCCATTAGTGTTTGTATAAATGAAGAATTATTTATATAGTTATAAGCTATGTAAATATGTTATAACTATGTAAATATCTTTCTTTTTATAACTGGTCACTCAGTTTTGGTTCTACTTCATACATCTACTATAAAGTAGGGATTAAAATATAATGTAGAATAGTAGCATAGAGTATTGGGTCTGGAAGATTGCCTAAATTAGATCCCAGCTCTACCATTTAGTCTGTGTGTTCGTTGGAAAGTTACTTAACTTCTCTATGTCCCAGTTCTTTTTTTTTTTAAGAAGTGAAACAATAAAATGAAAGACTATAATATGTCAATGATTATTGTGGAGATCGTTAAGTAATATAAAAGCAGTGGTGGTTAGCACTGTGCTTAATACATGTTGCCTATTATTACTATTTTATTATCATTTTCTTTTATTATTCAGGGGGACTTATTCTTATATAACAAAATTGTAAAATATGTACTGTTTACTCTGTCGAAAGTGCTGTTATTTCTGAGAGATTGTATTATAAGACTTAGTCAAATACTCAAAGATTAAAATCGTATGTGGGCAAGGAAAAGACAAAATGCATAGGAAATTAGCGGGTACACAGAGTACTATAGCACAGAAAAGTGTTATGGAGTGGTCATGTTATTTTAAGTATTATTACATAAGTGTTAGTAATCTTTATGAAGTTACAAAGAACAGAGGTATTTTGATATAGAAATAAAATAAAGCAAAGAAAATACAGAGAATTGTGGTTATATCAATAATTGGTGTATCTCTGCATGGTGAAGGAAATGAAGAGATTAAATTAGAGAAATAAGCAGAGTTAACAGGAAGACAATCCTTGATATTTCTTTGGCTATTTAGCATACAGTTGCCTTTATAAGTGCCCAGATTTCCTTTTGGTGGAATTATGTCTTATCCATTTGTATAAGTCAGGGTCCAATCAAGAGGCATAAACTACACAAGCTCAACAGAAGGGCTCCCTTTAAATGGTATTCATTCTTCTACCAGCTTACCGTGTTTGGGACCTGGTCTGTTCTGTTAATGCCTTGCTCTGCTCTATTTTAGTAATTTCTTCATTGGTGACTCTCCTTCAGATGAAATATTTTCCTGTCTTTCAACAGTATTTCTTTTTTTGATGTGTACTACTTCTTTCACTATTGAAAGTCTTCATTTAGTGTCAGTCAAAAACATTATCTTGGAAAATGTTTTCAATGAAGAAGAAAGGTCTGATGAATTACCAAATGAACGAATACAAAATTGGCATTCCCTGTCTCCAGTTCTCCATGCCACACAAATTAATTCATCCTGCTATCTTATCTACTGAAAGTGGCTTTTGCCAAAATTGTTATTGACCTGAGTCACTAAATTCTAGGAAAATATTTCCATTCTTATCTTGACTTCAGTACATTTTTCTTTTTTGCAATACTGGGGATTGTGCCCAGGTAGCTTTACCACTGAACTACATCCCCAGTCCTTTTTATGTTTTATTTTGAGTTAGGGTCTAAGTTGTTGAGACTGGCCTTGAACTTGAGATCCTACTGCCTCAGGCTTCTCAGTCACTGGGATTATAGGCATGTGCCACTGTGCCTTGTAACTTCTGTTATTACAGTTAAAATTAAAAACTTCAATACTCTCTTCCCTCGGTTTCCATCACATATGTTATTATTTAAGCAAGATTTAAAAAACAAGTAAAATTTAAGAAAATCTAGGATGAAAAGACCCTGTTTTTCATTCTAAATGTGTTTATATTGAAGGTACCAATTATCAGAGTGACCTAATAGAAATCCTGTTGTCTGAGCTGTACATGCTGTATCTATAAAATGAATACTTTATGTTATACTTTGTCTGCATAACAGAATGATGCAAATAGTAAAACAATAATGTATTGCTTAGAAGCCGGGTGCAGTGGTTGGTGTATGCCTGTAATCCCAGACACTTGGGAAGCTGAGAGAGGAAGATCACACATTTGGGGCTAGCCTCAGTAACTCAGTAAGACCCTGTCTCAAAATTAAAAATAAAAAGGGCTGAGGATGTAGCTCAGTGGCAAAGCAACCACTGGGTTCAATTCCCAGTATCCACCAATCAACTCCTGCTTAGAAAACATGAAAAACAATAAACTGTAGCATTAAAAAAGTCCTGAGAACCTAATTTGTAAACTAAAGAAAAGTTTAACCCATCAAACCTGATCATTGAGTCTGGATATATCAGTTTGTCACAGGTTGTCTTTTGAGTAAGATCTTAAATGCACTGCTTGGAAATTAAAATTGAGTGGGGCTCAGTGTTACACACCTATAATCCCAGTGGCTCAGGAGGCTGAGGCAGGAGGATCAAGAGTTCAAAGCTAACTTCAGCAAAAACAAGGCGCTAAGCAACTCAGTGAGACCCTGTCTCTAAATGAAATACAAAATAGGGCTGGGGATGTGGCTCAGTGGCCAAGTACCCCTGAGTTCCATCCCTGGTGCCAGAAAAAAAAAAATTGTTATTGTTTTAATCCAGTAACAATTACAGGGATTATCATTTATTTATAGCTATATATTCAGTGTTTTATGTGAAGTAATTGTCCTAATAAAAATGTATTAAATGGGGCTGGGGATGTGGCTCAAGTGGTAGCGCGCTCGCCTGGCATGCGTGCGGCCTGGGTTCTATCCTCAGCACCACATACAAACAAAGATGTTGTGTACGCCGAAAACTAAAAAAAAATAAATATTAAAAAATTATCTCTCTCTCTCTTTAAAAAAATGTATTAAATGAATATATAAAGTAATGAATATTGGCTTTGGGTAAATTATAGGTCAAAGAATTATCTATATTCTAAATTTTTGAGTGGTAATTTCCTTAAGAATAATTTTAGCCATTTCAAAAATTTCATACAATATTTTTGGTGATATATTCTAATACTTTTCATGAATCTACAAGAAGGTTCAGTAACAGAATAGTTTCAGCATCTATTCTGTCACACTAGTGTGGAGAGGACAGAAAAATGAAATTAAAATATGACTCACTAATGCCTGTAATTTCTTTTTTCTACTTAAAAAAAAAAGACTCCTTGTTTTCTGCTGTAAAAAACTTCTCAGAGGCTGCTTCAGATTTTCATAGAAGACTCACAGAAGTTGATCTTAATAAGTAAGTTTCAGATGCCTACTGTTTTGAAGAATAATCTGGTTGCAGGAATGAACTGTTTTTACTCACTTAAGCATTCAGCTCTAAATCACTACTATTCAAATTATGGTCTGCAAATCAATAGCATCACCAGTACCTGCAAGCTTGTTAGAAAGGTAGAAATCAGAGCCCACCCAAGACATAGAGAATTAAAATTTGCTTTTTAAAAAGAACTTCAGGTGATTTAGGAGAGACTGTTGTAAATGGAAGTCTAAACACTCATTTCAATACAAGGGCCAGAAATGTGTTTTTAAGAGTTTATGTTGTTTAGCTGGTATTCATTCATAGCTTTATGGGTTTAAGTGCATTTGTACTCTATTTCATTATAGTCCTTTTCCAACACTTCTATGCATCAATTTATAATTCTTTCTTTATCAAATTCATATAACTTGTTGCCAGTTTTAGCTTGAAAATAGTTTAAAAGTTATATTCAAAGTAAAACATTATGTAGTAAACATAAATTGCTCCACATTATAGTCCATGACATTACGTTTTCAGACTTAATCAGAAAACAGAAAGCTTTGCCAGTTATTTTTTTTTTTTTTCCTTTTGGTACCTGGGATTGAACCTAGGGTGCCCTTTTTTGTATTTTTATTTAGAGACAGGGTTTCCTGAAGTTACTTAGGGCCTCATTGAATTGCTGAGGCTGGCTTTGAACTTGTAGTCCTCCTGTCTTAGCCTCCTGAGCTGCTGATATTACAGGCATGAGCCATCACACCTGGCTTTGTCAGTCATTTTAAGGAGACTTTCTTCTCCTTTGAATTGTAGGAGTGCCCAGGGAACTCAAGATGACAGTCTGAAAATTTCAAGTGCAAAAGGAATTCCCAGCCCACTGTTTCCTTCCCTTCTTATGGACTCCTAAAACCTTCAGTCATTGTTTGCTATTCTGCCTTTATTTGGCTCCTTTCTTCCACAGTAGGCTGAGTGACTTGTCAGGAACAACTTGGTAGTTCACCCTGTACTATCCAAAATGCCTAGCTGACTGTCTTCCAGTTCTTTTTGATCATCTTGTGGCCTTGAAAAACAAATCATTACCAGTAGGACTGTTATTATAAATGCCAGAATGATGACCTTGCTATGTAGTTTATCATGTAAAGCAGTACTGGATTAATATGCATTTTTTGTTAAAAAGAAAAATATATTGATTTTAATTATTTTTCCATGTCATCTTTATTTAATATTATTTTAAATATGGTTCTATAGTAAAGGTTTTAATTACATATTTCTTGTTCTCAAAGTCCCATTGCAGTGAGAATTATGAATGACCAATTGATGCTTCTGGAAAGAGCATTCATTGATCCTCTTGGTTTACCAGGGAGACAGTTCTATAGGTAAGGAAAACAGTAGGGAATCCACTAAAGGGTACCAAATACCTCACTTTGACAAGAAAAAAAATACCCAAAGTCTGCTGTAAACTGTTATTATTAAATGAATAGAGGGTGATTATGTATACTGAAAGAAACATGGGCATATTATGCATCTAATACTAGTATAATACATAATACCAAAAAATTACACATTTTTCTACAAATGGTGAGGATTGAATAAGAACTCTTATAACAAAATTATCAAGCCATAGAATTTAAAAGGAGATCTTAGAGAGTTCAGCTAGTTGAACTATCTACATGAATCCTTACAGATTCTCAGTTAACATATACAGGATGGGAAGCTTACTTCATGAGGAAGTCCAGTCTGTTAGAGAAGGTCTCATTATTACAAAACTTTCTTCATAAAGATCTGAAATCTATTATTCTGTAATGTTCTCCCTTTGACCCAGATCTTTTCTCCAAAGTAGAATAACATTTCCATATAACATTTTAGGTTTTTTAAAGATGGCTGCCATGTTCCTATAAAGAAATATAATGGTTTTCTTTTTGTATATCAGTCATATTTTCTCAAGGTCCTTTGTAAATTATGGTTTCTTGTGGAAATTAGAAAGGTCCTAAAATGTAAAGTCATAAAATATATGATCAAGTTCACTTACAGATGTGAGATTTAGTTTAAGTGGCTTCCATGGCTTTCCCATCTCAATTAAGATGATGTTAATTGCTAAGGCTATCTATCAACAAATAACATGCCAAAAATTGTTGTATACATTACCTTCCTAAATGTCAGTGATTATTATTAACATTTAAGTAATTATAAGAAGTTTATGGAGCCCAGCTCTGTCACGTAGTAAGTGTGAGCAAGGCAAAATTAAAGAAGCATACACTCAGTACATGGCCGTTAGTTTTATAAATTGTAAATAAAAACATAAATGTTTACTCATGCAAATGAAATAGGGCAATTAGTTAAGTATATAAATCAAAGTTAAAAACAATATCTATAGTCTTGTTATTAGTCTCTTTAAGTTTCTATTATTTATAATCAAACATCTATTATTTTAAAATATAAAAATATCAGTCTTTATAGGATCATATAGAAAAAAAAAAAGAGACAAGGCATTTTCATCACTCCCTCCTATATTTCACTCAGTCCCACTATTTACAGAGAAATTCAGTGTTTATTGGGAATTTCTTTACACACACACACACACACACGTGTATATATATATATATATATATATATATATATATGAATATATAAAATGTATATCATTATAATCTGTATATATTATTTACATGTATGTATGTATAAATTGTATTCATGTATGTATGTATACATTTACTTATAATACACATAATTGTCTGCATACATATACATGCACACATTATAATATGAACATTTATCTTTAAAGATAAATGGAAACATATAGGAGTTTACATATTTTTTTCCCTTAATAATCTCTTCTAGCTTTCTATGTTACTATATAGTTTTGCTCTTTTTATCTGCAGCCTACTGCTATATTATATGGCTCACATTTTATAATTTATCTCATTTAAATTAATTTTTTTTTAGTTGCAGATGGACACAACACAATACCTTTATTTGGTGCTGAGCATCAAACCCAGTGCCTCACATGTGCTAGGCAAGCACTCTATCACTTTGAGTCTTTTCTCCCAATTATTTATTACTATAGGACATGATAAATATATATGGAAGTAAGTCATTGTTGTGTCCTATTTGAACATTTACTATCTCCATAATTAGGACTTGGGATTTCAGGGTCTAAGGACCAACACATTTTAAAATTTGATGAGGTTTCCACAACCTAACCTCCAAAAAAATTACACTGATTTTTTAATTTTATTTTTTTGGTACTGGGGATTGGACTCAGGGGTGCTTTTACTATTTTGAGACAGGTTCTTGTTAAGTTGCTGAGGCTGGCCTCAAACCTATTATCCTTCTTCCTCAGCCTTCTGAATCACTGGGATGACAAGCATATGCCACTGTGACTGGCCTACACTGTATTTTTTAAAATACATTTTTGACTATTAACTAAATATTAAAAGTATATTCTAAAGTAGTTACATTACGGAATTTGTCTACTGCAGTGGTATAGGAATAATTTTTCCGTGTATGATTGTAAAGGTTACTTTATTAAGTGAATATATAATGTATTGCACCCTTTCACTTTCCCAAATAACTTCTGAAGTGAATATAGTTATAGTAGCAATTCATTTCCATTTGTTTTAAATAATAAGAATATTTTCTTTTAGGCACATCATTTTTGCTCCAAGTAGCCACAACAAATATGCTGGAGAATCATTTCCTGGGATTTATGATGCTATGTTTGATATTGAAAATAAAGCAGACCCTCATTTGGCCTGGACAGAAGTAAAGAAACATATTTCTATTGCAGTTTTCACAATTCAAGCAGCAGCAGGAACACTGAAAGAAGTGTTATAAGAAGGCATCAGCTAAGTGAATAACTATTAAAAGTGTTGCTGAAAGTCTGAGGATGAAGTTAGTCTTGTTGATGGCCTGTGAAGCCAGAGTGTTCTAAAATCTTGATTTTTAATGTCTACCAACAGATAAATGGATAAATTGTGGGAATACATATCCATAAGGGAATACTACTCAGCAGTAAAATTAAATGAAGCAATGCTACTGGCAGACATTGTTGATTGACAGAAGCTAGGCATAAAAGAGTACATAAGGCAAAACCATTTACATGAAGAAGTGTTAAACTAGATATAAATTGGTGATTGGACAAACGACCAGAGGGAAAGGATGGTCACAAAGATGTATGGAAAATCTTTCTTGGATAAATGCGTTTTCTGTATCTTGAGCTGTTACAGCAGTGTACACATTTGCCATACCTCATCAAACTAAAAATGTCTACATCTTACTGTATGAAAATTATGCCCTGGTAAATTTGACTACAAAAAAATAAAGGTCTGGTAGAAAAACTGGGATAGCACATCTTCTCTTGTAAAATTACCAATGTAGTGCCAATTGTCAGAAAAAGTCAATAGTATCTAAACTTTTGATAAATTCAACTCTACTGAATAAATACATAAATCTAATAGGTGATGAGGTAGCTGCTCCAAAGTTCCAGTCTAGCTTCTATAAAGCATATCAGCATCTGCAAGCCTTTATGAAGTCACAGAATTACAGGTGAACATAATTAAGTTTCAATTAGCTTGACTGTTCAACTAGGTTACCAAAAAGAGTTGAGAATCAAAAATTAGAATGGATTTATTGGCAGGCACATGCAAGTAAGGGAGAACTCCAAGTTTGACTGCAAGGAGAAACTACATCTGCCACTCCTTACAAGGCCAACAATATGATTTAATATAACAAAGAGTTGGGTTATTTAGAAACAGACATTACTTTTATAACTCAACATTACTACAGGGTGTCTCACCATTTCCCCATAATAAAATAAGCACATGTGTAACAGTAATCTTGAGACATCAAGATAAATTTTGTGTCCCACTTATTCTATGAAAAATACCACAAAGTCTTCTGCTTTAAAAAGATAACAAGTTGGGGCTGGGGATGTGGCTTAAGTGGTAACGTGCTTGCCTGGCATGCATGGGGAGGCACTGTGTTGTAGAAAAGAGTGGATTAACACCCATGAGTCATACATTTCTACTATCCAACTGAGTCAATTATATATAACTGGACATCAGTTCCTTCTAACTCTATTACATCATTTCTAAAGGAGACAAAACACAAAAGTTTGGAAATCTCTTGAAGGGTATTATTCCTGCTGGCAGCTTTTTTTGAAGAAATACACGGGCTAACCAGCATATGTGACTTGAAATATGTATTTGGGATAAAGTATTAATCTTTGCAACTTACTGTTCCTTTAATTGGCAAGTTATTTTGTTTTTCTCATCTTTCATCAACAATTGATCAGAACAAGCAGCTATGTGGGAAACACTGTAATCAGTCCATGATACTGGATGTAGGGTATGTGCTATCCCATGTTAATTACACATTTGAATGTTTTTTTTTTTAAATTTTCCTCCTGAGCATTTGATTAACAGTTGAGCTGTTAATCATTATTCCCCCGAGTGAACGATTATTTCTTTTAAGAATACATAGAAAATAATAACAAAGAAATATATTGTTGTCAGTATGTATTGCCTGATATATGAATGATTTTTAAAATCAACGTTAAATAAGCCATACATTCCTATTATACTACAGTAATTTACTTTAGTCATCTAAAAAAATTAAACATGTTTAATACAATCAGAAGTTACATAATATTAAAGTAGACCACTAAGCCATAGGCATGTGAAAGATATATATATATATATATACTTAGAAATTCTAAAAATTTGTTCTGTAGAGAAATTGAACAGAATATATAACACAAGGGTGTTTACTGCAGCATTCTATATGAAATGAGTAAGTAATGAACAAAATTTCAAGGGAGAACTGATTAACTTACTGTATAATCCTAAAACTGATGATATATACATTTTAATTCATATGGTAAATTGTCTGTGACTTTTGTTGCAAAAAAAAAAAAAAAGTAATAAATCTAAATATAAAAATATCAACAAAATGTCAACAGTGCTTACTTTGGGGTGGCAAGACAGTATTTTTCTGGGTTGCTTAAGTTTTTAATATCAGGATATATTCCTTTTATAATTGGTAAAATAAAAAAAAATTCATTTTGAACAGGAAAAAGTATATGAATTTATGGGATGCAATACAGTTCACAAATATAAATCCTCTTCCAGTTTTCTAATTTAGCAGTTCTTCTGAGGATATAAATAATACTCATTTACATATACACACACTGGCCATCTGAATATTTTCCCGAAGTTCATACTTTAAAGAACATCAATTAATTAATCCTTGAGCTTTTAAGTGTAGAAATTAGTTTAGGGTAAAATAGTCACCTCCAAATAAATGATAGTGCTACATAGGTAAAAGCTAGACAGCCTTCCCTTGTTGTTGCTTTCTAACTATGAAGTCATTTGCTCTATATTCTCCTTTCTGACGGTCTGTCCTGCTTCAGCTTCTAAAGTACCTGGAATTATAGGTATGCACCACCATGCCTATACTTTACATTTCAATAGTTCTTATATTCTAATTTCCAATCTAATTAATCTAAATTCAGAGAAGCCATCTTTCACTTAAATGATATGACTTCTCTTGAGATCATTCCACTTCCTTTTCTCCTTTATATCCATAATTATACTTAGAATCATCTTCCTAAATGTAAGCATACATGCACTATTTAAAATCTCTTCAATAGGGAGTTTCGTTCCTGGGGATGTTGTAGTAACTGACAGACAATTGCTCCAGTTACAACTAGGAAAAATTGGATTGAATATATTTAGAGATAACAAATATTTTTAGGAATACTTTTATATTTTAAACTTTCTCAAGATATTTTTAGATTCCACAGAACTATGGAAGCACTGAAAATCAGAGGTGCTAAAGATCTCTGAATACTTGGATAACTGAGATCACCAACTGTTTTCTTTCCTGGGTGCATTCTCCAATTCTAAGCATTAGGCTAAAGTTCAGGCTTGGCATGGACTGAGCCACCTTAATTTAGGAGATAATCAACAGAGATTTTTGAAGGCTGTATTAACTGCCATGCTGTACTAGAATTAAGAGAAGTCCCAATCCAATGCTGACATTTGCTTAGGAACTGGTGCAAGGGGTAGTAGCCATGCCATCCTTCCACTCTAGGTTTTTTTGCATTCTCATCTTTGTGAACTTCCCTCCCCTCTGTTCAGGACTCTTGTTGTCTGTCCTTCTATAAAGTGTACCAAATATGCTCCACAGCCACTCTTTCATATATATATATATATATATATATATATATATATATATATATATATAGTACCAGGGATTGAATTCAGGGGCACTTAACCACATCCCCAGCTCGCTCTCTCTCTCTCTCTCTATATATATATACTTTTTTAAATTTATTTTTGACATTGGTCTCACTAAGTTGCTAAGGCTCGCTTTGAACCTGTGACCCTTCTGCCTCAGCCTCCCAAGCCACTGGGATTACAGGCATGCACCACCACGCCCAGCTTGGCATACTTTTATTGAATGATCTTGTTTTTCTTTTTGGAATCTTGCTTGAAAGTAAAGTGTCTTTATTTGATCAGTTATCCCCAGCACACCAAAGATCATTTGTTGATGAAAACTAATTAAGCAAAGTGATGACTACACTATTAAAGAGACACTTTCATCTTATTAAAAACATAAGTAAAACTTAAAATTTCACATCCATTAAAGCAGTTCTTCTGAGAGAAAAAAACTACTCAGAAATCTCAACACTTCAAGATTTTGACAAAACATAAATACAACAAGTAGATAAACTACAAAGACGTGTCCAATAACAATTTTATATGTGGTTCTTCATTAAAACACCAAGAGTTCAGGAACTGTTTTTTCTTAAAATGTCTTTCTCTTGTAATGTGATGGGATATCTTTCCTAACTTTCCTTGGTTTTACACAAGTTGAAATGATTCAACTTTGTGTGCCTCATATACTAAACTTTAACATATTGCTTCTCCTTTACGAATTCAAAGAGAAGCATCTATGTACATTGCCTTCTAATTGCATACACCTAACACAGAGATGTAAAAAAAAAAAGTGACTCCACTGATGTTCAGCCCAAGGCTATTTATAGGTACAGATTATTAGAACAAAATGCCTGTAAGGCACAAATTCATAGCCATGAGCCTTTTACTTTCACTCAGTCCTGCAGAATCCATCCCTATTCTTGTTAACTGCTCACTGGCCCTTTAACAGTTATTAAAAAAGTGAATGGCTCTTGGGGCTGGGGATGTGGCTCAAGCATAATGCACTCGCCTGGCATGCGCAGGGCACTGGGTTCGATCCTCAGCACCACATAAAAATAAAGATGTTGTGTCCACCGAAAACTAAAAATTAAATATTAAAAAATTCTCTCTCCTCTCTTTTTTTAAAAAAGTGAATGGCTCAATTGACTATTGCAAAAACTGACAGCACATTCTTTACATGATAATTCAGTTATTTGATACTAAAAAAGGCAGGGATAAACTTCATTAAGATATGGCAGTCTATTTTTGGTTTTGCATGTTGACTTGGAATGTCTTGTCTCACTGTCCAAAATTTAAGGCCTCTGGAGTCGAGGAAAAAAAAAAAAAGTTTTATTTAGCTTTTTCACTGCTCTGACCAAGACTTGACAAGAACAATTTTAGAGGAGGAAAAGTTTATTTCAGGGGCTCATGGTTTCAGAGGTCTCAGTCCATAGATAGCTGGCTCCATTCCTCAGGGATTGAGGTTAGGCACAAAGCATGGCAAAAGTATGTGGAGGAAAACAGGACAGGACATGGCCACCAAGAAGCAGAGTGTGCTCCACTCACCAGGAACAAAATACAAATCCCAAGAGGCTTGGCCCCATCCCATCATCCCACCTCCTCCAACCAACCCTACCTGAGTCACCACCTGTAGTTAATCAATACAGTGATTACTTTAAGGCCCTCATATCTCAAAAACAAACAAACAAAACAAAAAAATTTTGCCTCTAAACCTTGTGTTAATTATCTTGGGGGGACACCTAATGTCTAAACCATAAGTCACTAATTTTGAAACAGAATCTCACCATTTTCCATCTGAAGCAAGTTATGAAGGTTTCTTTTGTCTCTAAATGCAGATAACAGAACACAGTATATTCATGGAATGGTGTTAAGAGTAAATCAAATCCTGACATATTTAGCAATTATTTGTGCAATAGCTATCAAGTCTGCAGCTTCAAGTTACTACTTGTAAAAAATACTTCTCAAATTCCTAAGCCTAGACAACTAATGTAATTTTTGAAGTGCCCTCTACTCTCTACTGAAGTAATTAAGACACCTACTTTTCCTGAAAGTTTTAATTCCCTACCTTAAAAAAAAAAAAAAAAAAAATGGGACTAGATTTCCTCTAACCATCTTCCAATTCTGATTTCCATTATCCATTTTCATAGGCTTTCTGGCTTTACGAATTTGTTTCCTTTCTCTGTCCCCTGCTTCATCATTTGTGCTGATAAATTTTAGTAACCTTATTGGGAAACAAAAGGGACTTAAAGAATTCTTTAAGGCATCAAAAATGGACAAAGTTGGTCTCTAGTAGTCTGGGATCGGTTACTAAAATTCAGACTTCTTTAGTGGGGAACCTAAAGTTTTATATAGAACTGTAATTATAATGATCTCATTAATTGTAATCAGACTAAAGTAATGAACATTTTTTAAATGTGGCTTTTCTTGACACACAAAACTTTGACACTTTCCTCTAAGAATCTATCATGGCTAAGTTGCTTTATCATTGCTACACACAAGATCAAGGTCTGTAATGGACTTTTGTTGCTTCTGTTCACTCAGCCTTCCTTTCCCATTCTTCTGATAACAAAAAGTTCTTTCATACGGAGGACCCATTTCAGATGGTTTGGGTAGCATACTCTCAATATTTAGCATACACCTATATGATTATATATTGGATTTACTTATTTCCACACTTGTGTACTACATCATACTCAAAAACAGAATTATCATTGTTTTTTGAATGAAAATAACATACCCTCAAAGTTCACAATGCATCAACTTTGCATTCCCAAAAGCTAAGTGATGCATTTACATTATGCCTATTTAGTTGTGATTTCCAAATTCTGAGAGCCAGATCCCTCACTGCAAGCTTCAGACCTTACTGTCATCCCAGATAGCTTATGTTGACTTGTAAAGATTTGACTTTACAGTCCTATTGACAAAATTACTTCCTCCAAAATCTTGTCTAGATTCCCTGTCTTGTTCTATTCTCATACCTAGGAGTTATCTTCAAGTTTCTCTCTAGTACCAAATTCCTTTCATTTCAAGACACCGAGTCTCTTATATATCTCCTCTTACTGCTGTTCCTGCTGTATTTCATGCCCTGATCCTAACTGATCTTTATACCATTTCTAAATGCTCCTTTTTATCAAAATGATCTTTCTATAAAATATACACTGCATTACAAATATAACAAAGAGATGAAAGGAAGAAGTGCTCAACTTTTTGAATATGCAGGTATCTAGAAATGTTTTAAAACTAAAGATTACATGCACACACTGTAGTTGATAAGTTGTTTCCCATGGGCAATTGGGTTAACAATACTGACACTGCAATACGTTATGTTAGAATTAAGCAAAGGGATATAGTATATTTGGAACCCATGGGAAGTTACAGATAAGCAAGGGAAGAAGGTTGGAATGATATGTAGTAATGAATTAAGAGACATGATTTCATGGTTAGCTTAACAAAGATACAGATGATTAGAAACACACAAGTTAGTAAAAACATGTTTCCTTGCCTAAGGGCAAAAATATTCCAATTGCAATAAACATGCCTAGTACTTAGATGCTGGTTTTTAAACTATTCTCCAATAAAGAAATGGCTGACTCTTCAATTTGGATAGTAAATACACAAAATGAGCTCAGAACATCTTGAAATGCCACAAAATAAGTGCTCAAACACACACAAACACTAAAAGAAAAATCATAAACACACATAAAACCCAACAGTGAAACAACTATGCCAAAAATTTAAAATAGGAGCCAACTGAAAAAACTGTTAATAACTTGGAATTAATTAAGCAAAATAAAGTAGCATTAAATTTTAACCCCAAATATAAAATATCTATGAGTCTATACTAATACAAATGAATGACTAATGGAAAGAGAAAGATCTGTGCAAAGTGGCTTCTATATTCTGTCCTAAAGGAAATGGAAGAAAATAACTCCCTACGCCCTCATGATTATGAACTATACAGTAGGAGGAAGATCAACAGGGTGAATAAAAGAGATCTTCATAGAGCAAGTCAGTTGCTCAAATGACTTTGACAGTATGTATACCCTTGATATCACAAGATGAGAATGGCATTTTAATTTTGTGTTTTTTCTTTCCCAAACACATAAATAAGTGCAATCTTTAAAAAAGCAGCTACACAAATCCCAATTGAGGGACATTCTATAGCATACTCCACACCAACTGTCAGTGTTTTGAGTTTAAGAAACTAAAAAACAAGGGGAAACACAGGAGGAATAATGACTAAATATAATGTGGTCTTCTAGACAAAGTAGTTGAAGAAAAAAGACAATGAGCAAAAACTATGAAAATCTGAATAAAACATGGACTATAGTTTATAATGAATCAATACTGATTCAATTAATTGTAATGGGTTATATTACACTAATATGTCAATGAAGGGTGAAATTGGTTGTGTACATAGAAACTCTGTAATATTGTCACCTTTGTTCTACAAATCCCAAATTTTCTTAAAACAAAAAGTTCATTAAAAAAAAAAATATGAGCCTACTGAGATAACCATGTTCTTAGTGGCTTTAAAATTTTGAAAATTTTACTGTTTATCAGAATCCAGAAATTATTCTGCACATCCTGGACCCTATTTCCAGTTTCTGATGTAGTAGGTCTAGGTTTGGACCTGATAATTTGCATTTCCAATAAGTTTCTACTGATAGTGACAGAGTTTGTCTAGAAATGGTATTCTGATAATCTTGGCCTGACGATGAAGTCAAAATTCAAATGATCCTTTACTATTTAGTCCCCATGTTTACAATCCTATCTTCCGACATTCTTAGTTAGATGTTCCAGACATTCCAAATTAAACAAAGAACCTGATTATACTTCAGTAGTTATGCCATTTCATTAACGCAGAAATATGAATTCTCATTTAAAAGATGTATTGTCATTAACAAAATGGCAATGGAAACTTTTATGGTATTTTGCATTGAGGATTCTGAGACTATTCTAAAAGTTGTCAAATAACAAGTGATAAGTTTTTAATAGGCTATTAAAACCAAACCATCCAGGCAAAAGGACTGTGTAATTTATTTTATAAATTTATTTTCTAACCAAACACATCTAACAAAAAAATTGTTCCTAGTTATCAACATACTGTTAATAATTTTCCATGCTATATGTCAATGTTTTGCAAAGCTTATGCATTCAATGGGTAAATAAAAGCAGCACACAATAGTGGTTAAGAGCACAGAATACAGTCAGGCTGCCTAAGTCTGAAATCTTTACTCCCCAACTCACTAGTTTAAACTCGAAGTTGCTTAACCAGAGCAATAAATCAGTTTCCCCAATTGTAATGTAACAATAGAAACTACCTCATAATTGTTATATTCCCCAATTGAAATATATCAATAGAAACTACCTCATTATGACTATGTTCATACTCATTTAAATTCTTTGAATAGTGAGTAGCCCACTATTGCTGCATGTAAGATATTTTAAAGAACCAACTAATATGCTAAGTACTTTACTAAAAAACAGAAATACCGATGGTCAAAACACCCACAGTTAAGATTACATGCAGTCTGAAAAGGACACAGATAATAACAAATTAATATAAATAAATAAAACTACTACATTCACTTAATGTCTCTGTTGGAGAAGTGAAGTACATTTAGGGAGGTTTGTCTTTTCTAAGCTGAATCACTAATATTACTTTAATTAGCAAAATCTCTTTAAAAAAATAATTTAACAATCTATTCATCTAAACAGGATATCTGCTTAGTGGAAAAGGAATAACAAACTATTTTGACATGCAGCTTTAAGCAACATAAAAACGTTTAACTGTTGTTTTATTTCATTTTATTGTACATTAAAGGGGTCCTACTAAACTGGAGAATTAAAAAAAGTCATTAATTAAGCATTTAGTGAAAACACGATCTTTAGAAAACTTTCTTAGAGAAACTACATCAACAAACACCATGAAAACTTAAAATTAAGCAATGCTCTGCAGGAAAAAAAAAAAAAAATTTTCAAGCCTTGTATTTTAGGGACAATGCCACATGCACAAAGCCATAGGCATCTATAATCAATTTAGAAAAGGCAAGCCAGGCAACACCAGATGAATTTAAATTTTTGGAAGAGAAACAACTTCTCACCTATCAAACAAACAAAAAAAGGAAAAACAAAAATCTATCAAAACAACATTAAAACAAGCTGGACTTTAATTTGCAATAAAACAACAAAAAAATAATCTTTTAACATTCAAATAGCCCTAAAATGGATACCAGATCTCATAAATGAATTTTTCAAAGTTTACATGTTGTTTGTGTATTCAAGACATCCATTTACAGGCTTAGAAATGAATGTTGTTGTTTTTTTTAAATGTGGGGGATGGGTTAACAATAGCTTTAAGGCCCCTTAAAATATGTGCAAGAATGCTTTAAGGTTCTCTTCATTCTTGGAGCTTGAAGAACTGTCTAAAGAAAACTGAACAATTTATCCTTAATACGAATTAAAATTTCTGGCAGAAAATGAAATTATAAAGTAAAATCAGCCCTTTGCCATGTACAGGTACACCAAGAAGTTACATCATCAGTCTGTAAACGTTTGTTAATATTTTTAATCATTTATATTAACTAAAATTATTACAACTAGAATAGGACTCAAGAATAGGATAGATCTTCAAGAGTTTTACTAAAAATAGCTGGTTAAAATTAAATGTTCTATTTTAGTTAACATTACTGTACCAAGGTTAACTTCTTAGCTGTATAAAAGTCCTGTGATTATGTAAGATTTTAACATAAGAGAAAGATATTTAAAGAACTTCTACTATTTTTGCAACTCAATCTAAAATTATCTCAAAATAAGAGGTTAAAAAAGTAAGCTCAATATTACTTTCTTTATATTAGCAAATGTGCTAGCTAGGCAATAAAAATGGCATTTCAAGTTTCCTGTGTTGAAGTCAGTTACCAAATGTTTCACATACCCAGCTTTCGACTGCTTTGTTATATTAATTACTTTGAATGCAAAGAAAGACAGCATAATTCTAGACAGATGACTCAGTAAATTAACAAGTTTTATTAACTTTTTTGAAAAATTGATAGAGTAAAACATACTCTACCTATCTATAACTGTGTCCTTTTATGAGTTTCACTAATGTAACTAGACTACATAGTTGTATCAAAAAAGGAAAAAAAAAAAAAAATCAGTGCTTTGTAACTAAGTCTGAGGTTTGAATATCTCACCTGCTTTAAATAATATTTAAATCCTAAAAAATGAAGACATTTTGCAGGAGAAAACAGCCTCAAGAAGAAAACATTACAAAAGGTATAATGATAATTACTTTAAATCAAATTTATGAATCAATTTCTTTCTCCAAACAAGGTTCCATGTCTACAAAGAACACAGGTTACTAATTCCAAAAAGACAAGTTGTCAAAACTTTAAATACTTCTCTCAAAACTAATAGTTACATTCTCTATCTGGATCACACTTTTATTGACCCAAATTTCTTGCCATTTGTTTTAATGTCAACAAAGCCTGGGTGCCAAACTTTGTAAAACTGTGACAGAGCTAGATCTTTAAATAATTATTATAACTAATATATCTACTAGTTATTTGCTAAGAGTAACAGAATGATATATACAAACCTCTTAAGAACTAAAATAGTACTTCTGCACACTTTTCTTTGCAAGAGTTCTATTAACCTAGAATATACTCAAGGGGTTTGGAAAACTTTTTGACTTTCATTTATCTGTATAAACCTAATAATAACCAAATTTATTAAGTTATGCCAGTTTGAATGGCATAACATTTCTTAAAATTTCCTTCTTGAACTCTGTATTACCTCAAAAAGCGATCTATTCACTAATGGTCTGAGAAGCATAAATAAATCAAAGGATGTATTACATATATTTAATACCAATAAAATACAATATATGATCAACATTGTATTACTATAATTGTCAAGCTCTATTTGAAAGCCTTAAAAAAAAATGACTCTGGTAGAATTAAGCTATTTTATTTAACATGTAATAGTAGGCATAAAGCAAAGTTTATGTATTTAGTTTTCTCATTTTCTATTGTATTTCCACAAACTTTTAAGATACAATTTTAGGTATTTTTCTATCAATAAGGCCAGATATAGATTTTTTTTTTTTTTAAATAGGTAACTGAAGGTTTTAAGAGGGTTTAGACTGAAAATCAGGTACCATTTAGTCATAACATCATATAAAGACCCTTAATCAGGAGAAAGATTTTTAACATTATTGCTTAAGTCTTATAAAAATAGTGAATTTTAACCAAATTGATCTCTCTCCAGTCTTGTTTCCTTTACTCTTAAGTCATACTTGTTTGGCAAGTAATATAGGTAATGATGTAATTTTAAAATTAAATTAACCGTGAATAAATTGTAATTTGTTGGTCAGTGCATATATTTTGCCCCCACTTTACCTAGGATAGTCCTCTTGGAAAAAGTGACTGTCCCACATGGAAAATAAAAACGAACAAAAATAATGCAGAACTTCATTTCTTCCTTGAAGATTTTCAAGTATTATAGGAACAAAAGGTCCACAAAGAGGGGAAAAAAACAAACAAAACAAAACTGATTAAAAAATTGACATTTTCATCTTGCTTTAATAATTATGGGATAACAGAAGTATAAAAAACAAATGTCCCTTATTATTTCTTTGTTTAACAAAATAATAATACACTAAGAAATACTGCAATTACACTCGAGCTATTTTCCAGCTTCTTCAAGTAAGGGACATAACTATGGTTCTACCAATGAGAAGATACGAATAATCAATCTTATGGAACGCAAAATATGGCAACACAAAAAGATAAATTGACTTTGGCTTTTAAAAACAAATATCTAATATGACCCTGAAATGCCTGATTCAACAACAAAAAGTTACAGCAGCAAGCCACCACTTTACCACACATTCAGAATTCTGAAATAGGCAACAGCCCTCCCCCGACCTCAATCTGTAATATCTTCTTTTTGTTTTTCCTGCTTTTTGGTTGTAGGTAGTTCAAGGCTTGCCCACTGCATAGGCTCAGCTTTTCTCATGGTGATCTCAATCTTTGTTGCAGTCATAGTCACATAGCTTCGTTTTACATCAATCACCTGTAACATATCAAGGAGCATAAGAGTAAATAAACTTGGGTCTCATTTAGTCCAGAGGAAAATATTGGTCTTCCTTATGCTAAAAATCCCAACCTCAAGCCTCTAAGGCCATTTGTATACCAATATTTAGATTTTTTTGTAGGACAATAAAGTTACAGATCTGTAATTCACTTATTAAAGTATTTGCCTTTTATTCTACAAATGGTACTTTAAATTACCCGAAATTTTGATGGGTTCATAATACTTACACCCCATAATTTGACATTTTGATGAAATTCCTTCTCTCCTTCAAATACAATGTGTACATTTAACTAAAAAAAAAAAGATAGAAAAGAAAAATTTACTTGAAATTTCATACTGAGGATGAAATACCACATTATCAGGCAAGTTTTATGAGCTACTCTATCTCCAATATGCTTTAGGAAAAAACCCTATAATAAATTTTAGATTTTCATTCATAAAAGTTTCCATGAATATAATTTAAAGTTATTTTTTGATGTGGAAAAGACTTTTTGTTTTTGGTAATGGGAATTGAAACCTCAGGGATTCTTGGGCACTGAACTACATTCCCAGCTTTTATTTTTTATTTTGAGACAGGATCTCAATAAGTTTCTGAGTCTGGACTTGAACTTGGGAGTCTCCTGCCTCCATCTCTTCAGATGCTAGGATTACAGGCATTGCCATCATGCCCAGCTTATATGGGAAAGATTTTAAAATCCATTGAAATAAGAACAATATTTTATAATGCAGTAGTGTCAAAACAATGTGAGCAAGACAAGTTAGATTCAGCTGTTTAGTGTACTTACCAATGTACTATTAGCTTCTACTCGACTAAGTTCTGGAAGTGAATTTTTAGCATATACTGAAATGGTGACTTCACCTCCAGTCTGATGCCAGTCATGTCTACATGGAACAACTTTTTTCCCCTGAAATGTAAGAAGACCTTTACAAGTTTAAAAAGCACCGTATAATTAACTTCTTCAAAAGAAGAATTTGACCCGTGAAAAGTAGAGGAAAACTACTATGCAAATGAAGAACATAATGTTTTTAGGACAATCAACTCCCAAAGTTTCCACCAAGAGGTTTAAACTACAAAATAACACAATACAGAATATTTTAATAGTTAAATCCTATTATCCACTAAGTACCTCTTTTAAAACATTTTTTGAATTATTTTTCCCTTTCCCCTCACTTCCTCTTGTATGTAATTTTGTATAACCCTGAGGGTCTCCTTCCATTTCCATGCAATTTCCCTTCTCTCTCCCTTTCCCTCCCACCTCTCATCCCTGTTTAATGTTAATCTTCTTCTCATGCTCTTCCTCCCTACTCTGTTCTTAGTTACTCTCCTTATATCAAAGAAGACATTTGGCATTTGTTTTTTAGGGATTGGCTAGCTTCACTTATCATAATCTGCTCTAATGCCATCCATTTCCCTGCAAATTCCATGATTTTGTCATTTTTTAATGCAGAGTAATACTCCATTGTGTATAAATGCCACATTTTTTTTATCCATTCGTCTACAGTAGAGGGGGTAGAGAGAGAAGAGGGGAGGGGAGGGGAGGGGGGTTAGTAGAGGATAGGAAAGGCAGCAGAATACAACAGACACTAGTATGGCAATATGTAAATCAATGGATGTGTAACTGATGTGATTCTGCAATCTGTATACGGGGTAAAAATGGGAGTTCATAACCCACTTGAATCAAAATGTGAAATATGATATATCAAAAACTATGTAATGTTTTGAACAACCAACAATAAAAATTAAAAAAAAAAGTATATATATAAATTTTGGTATATGATATTACCTTTATATTCATATTTATATTCATATATATTGATATATATGTTCCAAAGGCAACCCATCTCCTAAACCAAAGCTGTAACTCAGAACTAAACCTAACCCTATCAATAATCATGAGCCTTTTAAACAAAAATTATATTATTGAATATCCATATATATTTTCACATATATATTCTGTATATGTTCATATACATATACACACACACACATACACACACACACCCTAATGGCAACCCAAATCATACCCATAAATTTTCATATATATTCAGTTACATAATCATATCCTATATCTTACCGAAAGTGTAAATATCCATATCCATTTAAATATTTTCATGTGTATTTATATATATATATTCACATTTGTATTCATATATATGAATAAAAGTGTTCTAACCCAGAAAAAAAAAAAAAAAACATTCTTTGAAGACTGAAAATTAGAAAGGATGTTCGCTTCAGTGGAATAAACAAGACAACAACTTAACTTCAAATATGGAAACCTTCAATATGTTTTTTACAAGTAATAATAATTTGGGAGAAAAAATGACCACTTAAACCTGACATTTGCACATAATCCTCTTGTCCTTATGTATTAACATACAGGGGGAAAAGAAGGGAAAAAAAGCAGAAGTAATACTCAATTACTCTCAAGTAACCCTCAATTATTAGTGGTTTATTGCCATACCAATTCATTTTCTTAAAGAAGCAAATGGTGATTTGTCTTATAAATGAGAACAACTTAAATCAAATTACATAAGTAAACTCCATGACACTACCATTATAAAAGGCATCATTTACATTTTGGTACAACTGCACTAAGTTTAAATAACAAATTTATCACTCATAACTTTTCCTTAGCTACTATCTCATATATCTAATACTTAAATTGAACTTTGGGAAAAATACAAAGGCAGACATAACTTTCTACTAACGGAAGATTCATGGTGAATGAATTATTTAACTTTGGAGGGTACACTTATAATAGTTAACCATGTGTTAATACAAAGTCAACAGTTCAAATATGAATAAATTTCTAACTTTTGAAAATTTACAATAACTTTCTAAATTAAAATGCACAAATTTTGCTAGCATGGTGGCACACATTTGTAAAACCAGCACGTTGGGAGGCTGAGGCAGAAGGATTCCAAGTTCAAAGCCAGCTATTTAGGGAGGCACTAAGCAAGTTAGTGCGATCCTGTTTCAATACAAAAAATAAAGGTTTCTATATTTGAAGTTAAGTTGTTATCTTGGGGATGTGACTCAGTGGTTAAGCATCCCTGGGTTCAATCCCCAGTATGAAAAAGGTTTTTTAAAAAGGTACAAGTTTGGGGCTGGGGTTATATCTCAGAGGTAGAACGCTTGCCTCGCATGGGTTCGATCCTCAGTACCACATAAAAATAAATAAAATAAATAAAGATATTATTGTGTCCATCTGAACTGAAAAGGGTCATTATTTGGAGTTTATTAGTGTCAGTACAGCATAAAAGATTAATTTATTTAGCACATTATTAAATAAATAGCTAACACCTAACTTATTTCATGATAAACTGCTTTCCTTCTTAAAATCTTATGGTTTTTTAGGGATTTTTGTGCATGGCCCCAAGTTTTCTAAAGATGCTGTCCAGGAAATTAGGAACTTATGCTTTATTTTCTCTCTTAATATTTCCCCCAGAGTAAGCAAAGGAATTCAGAATTCTACTGAAACAAGTCTGCAATTTACTCCTTGGCCACTAGATGAGGCATTTGTGCATCTGTAAATGGTTAAAGTTTTAAGTGGCCAAAAACAACAACATAATGTGGCAACAGGATTTGAAATTAATTTTCATAATAAGCTTCACTTTAACAGGCTCTAGTATTTCACAAAAACCCATATACCTACACCAACATATGCAACAGCTATTTTGCTCAACAGGCAGTGCTGAGAGTTTGATTCAGACCAGTTTTTTCTGTGTTGTAGGGGATGGGCACGATGAAGGTGATGACGACAACAAAGGATACATTAACAAAATATTAATAAAATATTTGTGAGGGTGAGAATTCCTCTATAAATATAAAACGAAAGATTTTCAAATCTCTCAAAAATGACTCAGACAAACACAATTCAGTGTCATTATTTTTAAAAGGTTACTTACAGCATCCTTTTTAGTCCACACGTGTTTCCCTGTTGTACAGCCTTCTTGGGCTAAGAACGTATTAAAGTCAGAGGTTTTCCTTCTACAACAGCTCCAATATTTCATCCTTCAAATAATTATAAAAAATTTTCAGAAGTAAAACCTCACAATCAATTAAATACAGAAATATTATAGTGCAAGTATAATTTAAAAATCAGGCAACTTCAGTATTTACCAGTGCTTAAGTTACAGAACAGTAAAAATGGACACACATGAGAAAATACTTAATAATTTAAAAATAAGAATGCCACTTATTATGTAAATTTGAAGCTCCTGAGCATAGACTAAAAACTATCACAAAATTCCAATCAATTTTCCACTGGTAGCCTGCACTCCAGTGTCCTCATGAAGCTAACAAAAAGTGATACAACAAGATTTATAATCATTACATTTCAATAACCTGGTAAAGACTATGACATTAACAACTAATGTTTACACAACCTGTGATGGTCAATCCCAAAGTAGAAGAAAATTATCATTCTTTAAGAAAAATCTAACACAGGAAGCTAAAATTGCAACACAGTTTCAGGTTTGAGCCTTGAAACATAAGGAAACAGAGGAAGATTTTTAAAGCAGTCCTATTTCTTTAAACTACAGACAAACTCTCAATTGAAGACTGGAAAAATAGGAGTTTTCCTGGGTAGTAATGCTTTAATTGCCCCTGAGCCAAAATTCTAAATGTCCTGCCAAATGTCAGACAGTCTTTCAAACAAAAAAGAATTTAGCCCAACTAGGAAGAGCATCACATTGAAATGGAAAATACAGTGTTTAAATCACAATGGCCACTTAATAACTGTAATCTTGTTTTTCTTCTGTTAAGACAAATCCCATATTTTTAAGTTACTATAAAAATTAAACAGCAATTTAAGTAGAATACTTAATAACACTGCATGGTAAGTACCTAAATATATGAAGGTTTAAGTTTCTAATCTCTACCATAAGGTATTTTAATTAGTCATGCATAAGTTACCCCTCATGGAAAATAGGTACTCCAGAATGATATACACAAACTTCTTCTAGACTCTGTAGACCCTGATATGTCTAAAAGAGAAAAGAAAAAAACAAATTTAGCTGCCTTATCTCTCAGTTGTATCTTACACATATTTGTTAGTACTCCATTGCAGGTCATTCCAATAAGGAATAAAAAATTATTCCATTTTACATATGGTTAAATTTTAGGCTCCTGTGAAAAGGCAAATAAAAAAGTAGGCAATAGATAACATATTAAATGTTTTCATAGCCTGAAATTCAACCATATTCATGTGTTTAAATTTACAGAAACATTCAAAACAGATTAGGATCTTCATCAGAAAGAGGTACAGCATGATTAGGTATATAACAAACTCTGTTAGCATTATCAATTTATTAATTTATTATCAATTTATTAATCTAATACATAATTCTGGAAATTCTATAGTGCTGGTTATTTCTCTTCCCTCAAATGGTAAAATGAGCTGCAGATGTACTTATATTTATATCTATAGATCTCTTCATGGTTTGTTTGTATGATCTAGGCCCCATAAGCTGCTATATGTGAAAGCTCTACAGATGAATTCACAAGTTAGGTTAATAAAACATGGAAGCAGCCAGCAGCCTATTTTCTCTCTACTATTGTATTTATATTAACTACCTACATGAACAGAACATAAAATTTGATGTTTACATTTTGTAAATCTGAAGTATTAAGCGTGTTTATTTCCTAAGTTATCATGTGAGCACATAAATCCCAGTATGTTAGATTTTAAACTTATCACTATAACTCCCCATCTTATATGATGGCATCATAACTAGTCTCTCAAAATCAATATCTGTAAGTGCTCTTTAGTTTCTCCACTCCATCCACCTATATGTAGTCTATCATGAAATCCTATTACTCTGAAAAAATCTATTGGTTTAATTTCCTAGCCCTACTCACGACCTAGCAGATTTTAGGTAATTACACTATACGAAGTTTTCTACTACCTCATTTCTCACCCTTTGATTTCTGCTATCTCAGTAAAATATCTAATTAGTATCACTTTCTTAATTTATAAAGTGTGAGTGATTTACCTCACACCTTATACAATAATTAGCTCCAGGTGCTTTCCACATTTAAATGTGCCCCTGTATGAGAAAATATTCATGTCAACTCAAAAAAGAACAAAATGAAAACAAATCAAATGAAACAAAATAAAAAATAACAAAGCCATGACTATATGCAACAAACATGAACCTAACAAACAAAAGACGACAAAAAAGAAAGTACATGCTCTATGATTCTATTTATATTAAATTTAAAAATTGGCACAACTAATTTTGATAGAAAAATGCAGTAACCTTTGCAGAAGGGAAAAATGAATGGTAAGAGTGCTCTACCATGATGATGTGTTTCCTCTGAAAATCCCTTAGCTATAAACTTGTATTTGTACATGATTTAACAAATTTCTATGTTATATACATACCTCAATGAAAAAGATTTAAAATTTCTATAATGGCCTCCATAATCTAAAGTAAGGTCTTACTTCCCAGCACTATTAAGATTTGGCCATTACTATTACTAACCTCTTTTAATCTCAATTCCACACTAGCAAATTGAATAACATTCCTATTACTTAACGTTCTCTTTATACTATTGCTATCACGGCTACTAAAATACACTTTGCCCCCATATTTTCATAACTCTCATTCATTGTTTTCAAAACTCACCTAACACTTTCTCTTTGATCTTCTTTCTTCCATTACTCTACTATTTGTACTGCCTTCACTCCAAGAATTAATCATTTCCTTTTATCTACTACTTCTACCTCATATACATGTGAATAATTTTATTTCCACCCCTTAATCAGCAACCTGATTTTAAACTTAACAGAAGAGAAAAATAAAGACCTGGCCTCTCATCATCTTCACTTTTTCATTTAATGGCAACAGCAATCACCCAGATGCTCAAGTCCCAACTTCCTTTTACATGCAATCCATTAGCAAGTGCTATCAATATTTCCAATTATACTATATATTCTACATGTATTTGCCATGTCAGGCACTGTTCAAAGCATCAAGAGATAACAAAGAACAAACCAAAACATTATAAACCTTAGATGAGTGGTGGGACAAGTTAGATAGTAGTGAAATGACATAAAGTTTTAAAGGCCATGGAGAGAAAAAGAGAGGGAGAAAATGTTTACAAAGTAAGCAGGATAAGGTCTCATTGAGATGTTTGATCATATTGCATACATAACAACTTCTCAATAAACTCTAATCTCTTTAACCATAATAGCATCCAAGCTGGTTTCTCTTCCAATTCACTGCGGTTCTTCAGCATGTATTGGCTACTCACTAGTCACAGACATCCTTTTGTAACTCCTAAGATAGGTAATTTTCCATCACACTTCACTTGACTGAACTTGTTATTCCTTGAATAGCCAAGCTCTAACACCTCTACTCATGCTGCTTGCTCTATCTATAGCACTCTTCCCCCAGGTATACAACTCATTCACTATATTATAAAGAATTCTGATTCTGTCACCATGTAAAAAAGAACATAACTGACAATTTTATTAAATGATAACTCCCAACTCCAAACACTCTAGTTCCTTCTTTTTACTTGTTTCATATCTACCTGAATTCATATTTAACATTTTTTTTGTATTTGCGCCCATACTAGAATACCAGCTCCATAAAAAAGAGATTTTGGGGGTAATAACCAGTATTTCCCACCCCTACAACGTACTGCACATAGAAAGTGCTTATAAATGGTGATTAGACAGACTCACATGATTCTAGTCTGTATTCCATGTTTACAGCCCTACTCCTCAGCATACTGCCAAATGTATAACAGGCACACAACTAATTTCTAAATTGAGAATGAACTGCACCCTCTTTCTTCAAAATTAAAATTCTACTTCATAATATAATAAGATTTATAATACATACCTTTGAACACCCTCCATTTTTACATGAGGTCCCAATCTTAATTTCATCACTGTCATCTTCTAAAATGGAAATAAATTAATAAATAAATAAATAACAGAAGTTCACTGCAGTGCCATTCTTAAGATGCAACTTTTCTACAAAAAGTCATATAATATTCATCTACTGTAATTAGGTTTTCTTCTGTAGTGTCAAAAGGATATACGTTGTATTTTTATTCTACAACGTACTACTTATCTAATAACCACGTCAAAGAGAATTTATGAAAGGATAATTTTGTCCTACAGTATTAGGTATATGTCACAAAACATTAAATATATTTTACATCATACACAAAGAAACATTTTTGATTACCAAAGAAATTAAACTATTAAAAAATAATAAACCATAGAGAAGGAAAAACTTTAAGTAGATTCTCAATTTTAATAGAATAAACTACACATTTATTCTGAGCTATTATTTTGCATTTGGGAAAAATATTTTTATTATAATGTGTTAATTGGTCATATTTAGTAAACTTTTGGTTGAAAGTTTATTGGCTAGAAAAAATTATAATACAATAAAACAAAATCTTACCTTTCTTATCTTCTTCATTCCCAGATGATAGTTTAAGTTTATCAAGTGCTTGTTTTAGGGAGGCAGATATTTTTAATTCCAAATTTGTCATGGGTTCATCTGGGCTGGAGAATTTTGAAACCCTGTTACTATTATTAATGTACCAAATATGTCCTTGTAATCAAACTAAAAAAACCTTAAAACCTTCTTTTTGAGATGTTAAATGCTTTATAAATCCAGTTATTCTTAATAAGAAGTATCTTACAAATAGTTGCTATATTTTACAATCTACATTTTAGCAGAAAAGGTCTTTCTTATGTTAAAACATTAAGTCTCAAGTAATTACATTATTGTAGGCACATTCAATTATTAATCATCAGGACCAGTGGAAAGAGAGTAAAGACTAGGAATCTATGTTTGACAAGATGAGTAACTCCGAGGAAGGGGCGGTGGAATACTTCTACATTTCATGCCCAAGTAAAATGCTATGCACATAACATACAGGCAGTGAATCCATACTCATTTCTACCAATAGGGAGGTTTACTGTATATGGATACTAGTAGATGGAACTATAAATTCAGATACAATTGTATGGGAAGAGGTTAAAAACAAAATCCTCGTAACATTTCATAATGGTTAAGTTTTACATTTCCACTTTAAGTCCATTCAAAAATATCAAGAATATTAATAAAGCAATAAAAGTAAAAATTCTATTCATGCTGTACCCACAATGAAAAAAACTGACATTAACAAGTGCATAAAAATCTTTATCCTCATAATTTCTGTAGTATCATCAAATTAATTAGGATAAAATGCTTCCTTATCTTTTTCCAGTAATTTTTCAAATTGGCTAACAAGGAATTTGATAAGTATCCCAGGATTATGGATAAATGGAGTTGGAGTAAAATAATTTACTGAGTAGTTTAACAATGGTCTGCACTCAAGAATACTAATGAGCAAACACACTGAAAGTCTCTTGGGGATCTTATCTTGATCCCATATTATTCAATACTTTATAAATATGTTCAATTAAGATCAATAGAGAAAAAGTCGGGAACACTGTAAGTTCTCAGTATGAATACATATTTCAATAGGTGTTGTCAATTATTTCTCAGAGCTGTTTAAAAAAAAAAATTTACCATCTATTTAGAGTTCTGTAGTTTGGTTCTAAAACATTCAGTACTTAACGTGCATTATGAAGACCTAGCCTAACAAAAGTAAACCCAATATGCCGTCTGTTTGATTAGAAAATGATTATGAAGAACTGAATTTTAGTTAAAAATGAGCAAAAGCTACATTAAGACACTTTAAAGAAATATGCCTTCAGAATCAAATGCATTAAAAAATTCCTCAGTATTAGTAACAACAGTTTTTAGGCATCTAAAAGTAAAGATTAATGTTTGGATTAATGTTTAAGATTAAGATCAATAGAGAAAAAGTTAGGAACACCATCAGTTCTCAGTATGAATACATATTTCAATTTAAACTGAATTCATGCAAGAACAACCACTTCACAGAACTTCACCATGCCACAATGAAGACACATGCCAAGTGAAAAAAAAAAAGTGTGAATCCCTTACCCTGGTAATAGATAAATCTGTAGTTTTGATGGTATGACAAACAAATCTGCAATGAAGTTTCACTGTGTACATGCCTCAAGTTGAGTGGGAATAAAATTAAAGGCTCATTTAAGAGAAAAATGCTATCATGCAAAATGATAAATAGAAATATCATGAACAAATGCTATTATTCAAGTGTGACAAAAATAAGCAACTGTAAAAAGTATACCTTGGCCTTTTTATCGCTTCTACTGGCTTAGGGGCTTGAATTATGTGCTCCTGAAATTTGGGTTTCAATTCAGATAGTTCTTTCTTTTCAGTAGTCTTGACTTCAGGCTTGACCGGCTCAGGTGGCTTCTCACTATTATGTCTACCTTTTGTACAGCCCTGTTAGTGAAAGGCATTCATTAAGAGTTATCTTGTCATATGCCACAATAGAAACACTTTTATTATGTTGATTTATTTTAATGAACTAAATGTGCTATATTTGCTAAATTTGAAAATGAGTTTGTACCTCTAAATAAAATATTTTAAGAAAGACTTTACAAATTATTTATATGCAAAGTTTTTGTACTCAAGATCTCAATTTGTGTACAGTTCTACTTAAAAGCTGTGACCTTAAGCAAGATAATCTTTCAAAATCTCATTCCTTACCTGTAAAATACAGGCCATAATACTGAACTTTTTTTATTAGTAGAATATAAAATAATGTTATATCTCAATGGTATCTTTATATATCATAACAGTTTATTTCTCCTAACTGAAAATACTTTAAATGGTTGCCCACCACTTTCTTCTTTGATGTTCTTTTAATACTGCTAACGTCAAAAACATAAAATAACCAATGAATAATTAATATCTTAAAATCTTATCTCTTAAGCAGATAAATTATTATAAAGGCTGTGGAAGGAAGGTGAACTCCATTTTAAAAGTAAAGTGCTATCTGATAGTTGATGAGGATGAGTCAATAGAAAAAATCAGACTACCCAAATCTGGAGCTTCCATAAAATGTACATTAAGGGAGATAATCTAGGGAAAAAATAGCACTTACCACAATGCTTAAGAAATCAGAAAAATCAGTAGTTCTTCTCTTACAGCAAGACCAACCCTATAAACCATAAGAAAAAACTTAAAAACTATTTCTATGGAAACCACAACCCACTGAAACACTCTTCTTATACTTATCTCCTTGAATCCTGAAGTAACTTCCATATTTCACAGTTTTAAAGTGTTTATGGCTGTGAAGTTATCATCTCTACTAACGTATTACAGAGAGTAGGGAAAAGAAAGGCAGAAATCTCAAGACATGAGAGGCCCCAAATTTGGATTAGGGACTAACTTTGTGTATACTCAACTACATAAAGAATTTGGTATTGAGTTTTTACACAACATGTACTTTCAGATTTCTTTTTTTTGAAGAAAATTTTAAGTACCTATAACCCAATTTTCCTTTTAAGTTTTATTTTCTCTGAATAGAGATGTAGGAAACCAATTCCCACCACCTTAGACTGTTTAATAGCATTGATAGCGTTATCTCAAAACAGTTATCCTGTTGGAAAGATTCCCTGTCTTACCATATATACACAATTAAATCAAATACTGGGATACACATATGACACAAGATAGCTATTTCAAATTCTACTCTGGGTCTTTTGCTAGTCCTCAGTAAAATAAGAAAAGGATCAATATAAAGCATAAGGTTGTTAACTGTCTTTTCTTGAGAAGAACTTTCTTAGAGTATTATATTCTTCTAGCATTAAAATGTCCTATCTTTTGCTAATACAAGTTTAATTTCCTACTTGATTAAATAGAAAACTAGTGACTTTATACTGATGCACAAATTTCACCCAAACAGTCTGGGTTGTGAAATCCAATAATCTTGGAAAGTCTAAGTCTACAAAAAGTGTTAATATCACAGAGATAATAATAAACAGTACAACCACAAAACTGAGAAAAAGAAAAACTACTTCGCTTTAGAAACTTGCTGAACAGATACATGAATGGAGATATGCTACAAAAATCATTAGCCCAGAGGTGACACTGGAAAGCAAATAAAGAGAATGAGAAAAAATAGGAAGCTAAAGATTGCAAAGTCAAGTATTTCTATTGTTAGCAGAGAGGAGGAAATAGTATAGGGGGAAAAGAAATAAAAGAAAAATAATCAATAAATGGCAATCCAGAAAAGAGAAAAATCTCCATTTCCTCCCCCCACCAGCAAAATAAATATCCCCCCAGTTTTCATCCCCATCAACTTTTGTAAAAAGAGTTAAATCTCAAAGTGCCCTAATGAAGTTCTGTTCTCCTCACTCAGAACTAAGCTAACATAAAATTGTTATTTACTATACAACTTTGAATTTGATTGTGCGTCAGTTAAATGCCAAAAGAGTCCAACTGCTTTCTGGAAGATCAACAGAACATTCAAAAGAAATCAACAACATTTAAACATATAAGGCTATTTATGTTCCTCAGCATAAAAGCAGTAGTACCTAAAACCAGGACAGCCACCAGGAAGCATTTTCTTTTAGATACACAAAGGAAACTCCTCAAATGTATCCGTTTTTCATTTTTTTAAAAGTCATCATAAAAAATATGGTCAGAAAACACTCTATTATTTCTGGTAATTCTCTAGAACATTAAGGAAATACAGGTGAAAAACTGGTAATCTCTCTCTTCAGTAAACATATTGTAAACTTAGCATGTTTGTAACAATCATTCCTAAAGTTCAGAGTTTTTATTGGCCAACAGTGATAAACTGAAAGACCGAGATTCATCATAACTGCTTCGATTTCCCTTCAAAATTAGAAAGTAAAGAAATCATTAGGAAAATGATTTGGACTGTAAATAAAATATTTTATAACTGGTAAACATCATCATCCACTGTCTTCTTTGCTTTTAGTGGAATACACAAAGCACCCCACAATGGTCATTTAAAAAGCAGACATGCCAGTAAAAAAAGATGAGAAAATATTTACTATTACATTTCTAAATGTATTATACAAATAGGAAGAAACTGAAAAAATATATAGTTCCTACCTTTAATGCATCATGAAAGACTGGAACACCTGGGTGGTATGTGCAAGCATCTGGTCAAAAAATGAAAAGAAAAAAAAAAAAGCATTCTTTACAATGTAGGAAAAATGTATACAACACAATTTCCTTCAGTTTGCTAAGATTTAATTCCTTTTCCAAATGTACATAACACTGAAGATCCTTGAAAATTCACTAATGCTTGGTTGATGCATAGCACAAAGTGCCTTATATTAATAGTAACTGTTAAGATTTTAATTCAAGAACATGATGCCCATAGATAAAAATTCTGAGGGGGGAAAAAAGCAAATACAGAACAGTTTAAGGATTAATAACATTATATATTCTATATTCCTCTAATCTTTGTGGTAAAATTTGTTTATTATCAAACTTCAATGCCTAAGATTATGAACATACTTCTGTTTTTACAAAAATATTATTAAACTTAAGTGTAACTACACGCACTGATCCATAAAGGTTGCTCAAGAGATTTCCCCAAAACATATTTTGGAAGAACAGGATCCACATTTTAAACAACTTGTAATATCTAACTACTAATTTAACTGTCCTAAACAGGTTATCAATTCCTAGGTACAAACCTCATTAAAAAGAAGTGTAAATCCTACACTCATTGGGGTTGTCATGATCATTCAGTGCTTCTGTTTCCCAACCCCATTATGCCACCAATCTTTACTTAACTCTCTTAAAAAAATTTATTACAATTAGCAATGTAGAATATTTTGTAAAAAAATAGATAATTGATAATAAAATAGATAATATAGACACACTTATTCTCAGGCTAGATAGTAAAATGAACGTAGAAAAACTGTCAACTTGCACCTCTGTAATTTTCTCATGAGGCTACCTCACTCAAGCTCTTTAGTCTGTTTATCTTTCCATCCTCTACCTGATTCCTGTGTTACCTTAAAATTATTAATTCCTTGTACCCAGAGCAATTTCCTTATCCTGAATTAATAGCCAATATTACTTAATTAGTATCCATGTGTTATATAAATACTATACTAATGTGGTCAGAAAGTGTTAGGTATTTTCCTAGTACAGCAAATAAGCCCATGTATTAGGAAGAGATTATGAAAAAGAAAGTTGGCAGTTGAAATGTGTATGCAGGACAGGAAATTGAAAGGGGAGTAGAAGTAGAGAAGAAATATGGTATTCTCTAATATTAAATTTAATGTACAGACATAAAGTCTACAATGTATAATATAAATAGTCTGAGGCAATAGTCGTCTTAACAGTGGTCAGTTCTGGCAGAATGGCAGCAGGAATGACTCAGATCTTAATCCTATAACCAGTATGGACAAAATTAGAAAATCACTGTTTACAAAAGCTGTTTACAAGCAGATGGACATTTTCTTCTTTAGCTTTTATCAGGCTTGACAGTTTTGTTCAAATCAAATTTTATAGATTAAGAACCTACAACACCACAGTGGTTAACTATCAAGAGCTTTTCACATTGGGTCTGACCCTGGCTAAAATTCTCATTGTATTGCTCTTCAGTTTCTTCATATGTGTGGATTAAATAAAATACTATCTGAAAGTTTTGCTTTTCCCTAAAGTATTTTAATATATGCAGGTCACCAACCATGTCTTTTTACTTAATCACCTGTTAAATTTGTATTACAAACTAAAATGTCTATCATCTTAGAATAGTGTCTGATTTTTGTTCATAGGGAAAAAATCTTCAGAGAAATCGATAAGCATGATAATTATGCTACACCACCAAGAAACAAAGTACTGAGTGTAGATTAAGATTTTTTAAAGAATGATGGAACCAGCCATCTAGCTCCATGCAAGAGAGAACTTGGAACTTGCTTGTACCTTCAGTTTTACCCACTTAATATGCCATTTTAGTTATGGTACAAGGTCAATCCTCTCATATTCTATAAAAAGTCTCTCCTAATCAAGTCTACAGTGTGTTTTTAGTTATCTTCTAATCCTTACTATCATCTCCTTGATCTTCCATTCACTCAACCAATTTACTTAGCCTATTTATCCAAAGTCTCTAAAAATAATTCCCACTTTTCTTAAGTGAATAAACTTTCACCAATCTTATTGGAATTTCCTATTGCATCTGGTACTGTTGACCACCAATCCATGGGGCTGTTTACACTGTTGGCTTTCCTGGCCCCTCTTCTTTTTCAGGAACAGCACCATTTCCACATGGACACACTGACTTCCAACAAAAAGTTTTAACTCCTCTGTGCTGAAGACCCAAACATAACTTCCTAAAAACACCATTCATTTTTTTACACAGGCGATCAACATTACCAACATTAGACACTAAAAATTCCTCTTCTCAAGTTTGTTACCCACTGAAACATCTTAACATTCCCTTTGGGTAATATCACGTTTATATTATAAAAATGTCAAGGACAGTAACTTGAGTATACATAAACTGGGTTTATCTTTTCCTTAAAAGCTTGCACCAATGATCTTATTTTAAATGATGTCACCAATTCACCTGCCTGCCAAGATAAATATTTCAAATATCTTAATCTCTTTCACAAAGCTGAACCACGTTACTGTCATGTTGAATTCCTTTGATCTATTAAATGGTTCTATTACTACATACTTAACAGAGTTGCTGTGGTAAAGTGACAGACTAATGTCTGGGATAAAAAAAAAAAACACACACACAATAAATGCTAGCAGAATTTAAGAAAGTACTATCATTTCCTATAATATTCAAGGAATCAGCTTATTTCCTTCTTCTATTTAAGAATCAAAATTAAGATTCGGTGGTTATTTCCCAGCGTTAACCTAGTGTAGTTGCTTTCACTTCACATCGGGAACTCTACACCTAAGCGCTGTTGGGATACTTCGCTAGGGCACTTTGAAAATGGCATATTAAAACGAAGAGGTCATTGCAAAGAATATACAATTCTTTTGCAAAGGATAATGAAATGTGCCACCACGGCGGATGTGTCAAAACTCAGAGAAGAAAAATCAAGCAATTTCTCTAACCAAAGAAAACTTTTTGGTAGAGCAGACTTTCAAGACAAACTTCTCTACTAAAAATGAGGCAAAACTTAAACGCTAGGCTAACCGGCTGCCCATCGCTCTTCCTTTTGCTCTCTCTTTATACCCGCACTCTCCCCAAGAAATCACGGTCAACAATACTTGGGGAACCGCAAAGCAAGCTAGCAGGCTCCTTAACTTTTAACTTCCCAAGGAGACTGCGGGAACGCAGGTTAAGAGTGTTCGTTCAAAACTGGAGGCGAAATACGAGTGAGGGTCGACCGGGAGACACGTGGATCCAGTCAGAGCTACGGGGCAGGGTTTTCGCTGGTGCAAGAAGGCTGCCGGGTGCTGGCGCTCGCTAGGCGCCGAACTGGGGGAAGGCGGCCGGGGTCTCCAGCAGCTGCGGAGGCCCAGGAGGGGCGCCGGCCCGCGCGGCGCCACCGCGGCTCGCGGAGGACCCAGAGGCCTCCCGCTAGATCGCTGGGTGGCCACAGGGGGAGCTGGCAGCGCGGTTCTCTTACCATCCGAATTGTTCTCGGGGTCGAAGCGCTGGCCGCAGCCCCGATTATAGCATAGCAGGGCCATCTTCTTCTCCCACCGTTACAGGCAAGGACCAAACACCGGGAACCGCAGGACAGTGCGACAGACTCTGCTGTAGCAAGCGCTGACCTGAATCCTAGGGCGGCTGCCGGCTTCCGGAAACCGCCGGTTCCGCTTCAGGAACCTTCGCGAATTTTCCGGTCGCGCAGGCGCAGTAGAGAAGAGAAGAGGAGTAGGAGGAGGAGATGGAGGAGGAGGAGGCGGGATCTCTTGTTGCTGGCCGGGCGGGTAGGTCAGGCTCCGGCGAGTGACAGCGGAGGTCGGAGGTGTATGCTGGGCAAGTGTAGACTGAAGCGCAAAGAGGAGAAATTGAAGGTATCTGGGGGTTGAGGGGCTGCCCGCGATGGAGTCGCGCCTTTTTGGCCATGGTCCTTGTTGGCCGTGGTCTCTGTTGCAGCGAGCTGATCATCTCGCCCCCTCCGCCTCCCTCCACGACCCTGCGCCCTTTTTTGGTGTTATGCTTCAGTATTGGTATCTATTTACCCCTTGGCTGCTTCAAAGTGCGTACACAATACTACAGTATTTACACACACCGACCCTGCGCAGATCGCGTAGTGAGTAAATGAGAGGAAGAGTGGAGGAATCCTTCCTTGTAAGTGCGTGTCAGTGTCCATCCATGTCCACTCTGCTGCTGTGGGCAGCACTGAGGAAGTGCAGGCGTCTAGGCCAATTCTAATAACAGTTGCGGTCAAATCACTTTGGAAGTAGAAAGCACTTAAGATTAATAAAGAAAATTATGGATTAAATGCAATGCCAGAAGTGGTCACTATTTCTCCAAGACCCTAGAATACTGGTTGCTATTTCAAATTAGCATTTTGTTATCCCTTTGCAAGTACTCAGTTCTCTAATTCTGGAACTTTTGGAAAAAATTCAAGTGCTTTTTAAATATAAAGGACAGTAATAGCGTGCTTACAAACAACACTAGTTCTAATTTGTATTTATCAGATGGGGCTTTTGGGAAGAAAATGCTTTTGATGACAGATAACACTGGATAATTTAAAATGATGGTAGTTAGAAAGTAAAAGTAGAAAGTTGTATAATGCCTCCGTGGATCCCAAGATTGTTCATGAGAGAGATGTTCAATCCTCCTACCCCAGTTAAAAAAGGCTATTCATTTTCACGTATTCTCTTCCTTTCCTTATACTTAACAATATTAACTTTTTATGTAATAATCATGGCATAAACACACGAAATTTATCCTTCACCTAGCCTTGCATAAGTGTTTGTCTATTTTATTTCATAATTTCTGTTACAAAGATGAGCTGTTTTATTGAATAGCATCCAAAGTTTGGGAAATATATGTTGGAATTAGCATTGTTTACATGCACCTATGAATGCCTTATTATACTTTTTATAATGCACTGTAGTTTAACTTTTTCTTCTTTAATCTCACCAACTTTCTCAATTGTACCTAAGATTCAATGATCAATTTTTTATATATATGTGTATATGTATGTATATGTGTGTGTGTGTGTGTGTGTATACACACACACACACACACATATTTCCCCTCTTGGAAAAATGTTTGAGCAGTGGCAATACTGGGGTAAAGGGCATAAGCCCTTTTAAGTAATTTTAATATTTTAAAGATAATATATATATTCAGTTGTTTTCCAAAGACAGTGCCATTTTTAAAAATTTTACCAGCCATGGATATAATAGACCATAGAAATTAATCATACATAATTAGAAATGAAAAGATCAAGCACTCTTAAAAAAATTTTCATCTTGACCAAAGTCACTGTCTGAGTATCTTAGTAGCATGACAATGTTACTAGGATTATTAGTATATTCACTCTTAAATAGTTTTAATTTTTAGTGCCAGTGTTTTTTCTACTCATAGCATTACAATTATAAAATGATTGCTTATAATAGATTTTTTTTTCTTTAGGCACCAGAGATTGAAGTCAGGGGCACTCGACCACTGAGCCATATCCCCAGCCCTATTTTGTATTTTATTTAGAGACAAGGTCTCATTGAGTTGCTTAGCCTCTCTTTTACTGAACTTTGAACTGGTGATTCTCCTGCCTCAGCCTCCTGAGATATTGGGATTACAGGCCTGTGCCACCATGCCTGGCTTATAATAGATTCTTTGAAAATGCAGAAGCCTATTAAGAACAAAATAACAAAGTCGACAATAGTTGCATCACTCAGCAATGAATATTGAATTACTAAAATAATTCTTTTAAAGATTTCTGTTCAATGTCCCCCCCTCCAAGGCATTTATAAATACAGATGTTTAAAACAAAGAATAAAAGAAGGAATGGAGTTATAATATGTGGAAACCTTATGCTCTTACTCTGGGTATTTTAATAAATGGTAAAATTTAATTTTTCTTGTGATTAAAAAATGTACAGAAACAGTGCAGTCCATTCTATTTCAGATTTCAACTCCTTTCCTAGTCTAGTGCTAACCACAAAGTAAGAAACTCTTAGTTACATGTAGAGTTTATATACAGACCTTAACTTTAACTATCTTATTATTCATAAAAGACTTAAATAAGTTAATATAAAACTACCATCAGTTCTTTTTGGTGGAAAAGAACTATTATTATAATACTCTTGATTACTTTTCTACATTTTGAAATATTTCTCAAATAATTTTTGGTAAGGGAAAAAGTTGTATATATCTGTAAAAATCATTCAACCTCATTATTTAAATTTTGTGGCAGTATTTTATAAGCAAAGTTTTCATCAATATGGAAATAATCATTTTGAATTAAGATTTATACTACTCTTCTTCCCTAGGTTTATATACAAAATTCATGTATGAGTATGTTCATGTGTGTCTGTATGTTTATGTATATGATTTTGTTTGTTGTTTTTATTAACCAGACTAAAATCAGTTTGAAAGATGGACTGCTTGTTCACGTTCATGTAGTTATCCCTAGAACAGTACTGTTCAATAGAAATATAGTATGAGCCAGAAACGTGAGGACATTTTACATTTTCTTTTTTTCTTATAATCTTCCTTTTCAAAATACAAAAAATAAGGGTTTATTTACTTATTTTTGATCCATCTTTTTTTTATATACATACATGACAATAGTGGAATGTATTACACTCATTATTACCCATTTACAGCACAGTTTTTCATAACTCTATATAAAGTATGTTCACACCAAATTATGCCATTATACATGAACTCTCTTTTTTGCATTACAATTCTTAATACACATATATACCACAATTTTTCATATCTCTGTATATAAGGTATGTTGATACCAAATTCAAATCTTCATACATGTATTTTGTATAATGATGACTATCACATTAATGTAATTTTACATTTAATAATAGCCACACTAAAGAAAGTAAAATAACAGATGAAATTAACTTTAATTATGTTTATCCCAGTGTATCTAAAATATTATCATTTCAACATATACTCAATATAAAGTTTATTATTGAGAATATATATATATATTTTTTTTTGCAGTGTCCAAAGTGTCTGTTTTTTTGAATTTAGAACATTTCTCAGCTTGACCCAGCCTGGGAATTGAACCCAGGGGTACTTTAACACAAAGCCACAGCCCTTTTTTATTTTTATTTTGAGACAAGAGTCTTGCTAAGTTGCTGAGGTCATCACTAAATTGTTGAGACTGGACTTGAACTTGGTATTTCTTCTGCCTCAACCTCCCAAGTCTTTGGGATTACAGGCATGTGCCACCTTATCCAGTTCTATCATTCTTTTTTTTTTTCCTTCCTTTTTCTTTCTTTCCCAATACTAAAGATTAAACCCAGGAATGCTCTGCTACTTAGCTACACCCGAGCCTTTTTTTAATTTCTTATGTCAAGACAGAGTCTCAACAAGTTGCTGAGTCTAGCCTCAAACTTGTCATCCTTCTGTCTCAACCTCTGTAGTCACTGGGATTATAGGCATGTGCCCCTCCCATTGGCCTAGCCATATTTCAGTTTCTCAATAATTACAAGTTGCTAATGGATACTGAATTAGACAGAAATATCCTTCCATTCATTATCTATTCAGAAAGTATTTTATAGTAATTGAGTGAATAAATTTCAATAAGCTTTTAGAACATTATGTGATACTATTGGAGAAAGATTGATTAACCTGGGAAGATAGGTACAAAAGCAATTATGAATATTGTGTGTGTGTGTGTGTGTGTGTGTGAGAGAGAGAGAGAGAGAGAGAAATTGAGATTTGAAATCAAGCAGGAGATCAAGATTTCTGAGAGGGCCAAAATATTGCTCAGTATACATGCTGGTAGATGTTTGTAATACCAGGAGGATTTTGAGTTTGAGGCCAGCTTGGGTAACTTAGACCCTGTCTTAAAAATAAAAATAAATAAAAAATGGGGTGAGGGAGGAAGAGCCACAACCAAGGGAAATGGACTGTGTTTAGAAACTGGAAAAGAAAGGAAGCAGATGATCCACTAGAGCCTCCAGACAGGAATGCACCACTGCCAAAACCTTGATTTGAACCCAGTGAGATCTGTGTTGGATTTCTGACCTTGAAAACAATCTTTTGGATCATCTCCTGCACTCTGTCATGATGTACTTCTCCCTACCTGTTGATTCTACTGTGTGTCAGACCCAACAAAAAGACATTACCTTTCTCAGCATCTTTTCCCACATTTGGCCCAAGGTAACTACTAAGACTGACAGAGTTATTATGGGATTGTCTGGCTAGAAGCTGGGATTTCTAAAACAACTATGGTAGAAGGAACAGCGACCCAAGATCCCTTTGCTTGGCTCTTCTTCTTGCCTTTCATTTACTTCTGTCACCTACTGCCAATCCCACACCCAAAATAGTGGCAGAGACATCAGCATCTGTATGATTCAAAACCGCTTTGGGATCTCCCCTAGTCCTACAGAGTTGGGAAGCAGAAACTGTTTGCTTATTTGTTTGATGTTGCTTTTTCTTGAAACCTTCAGAAAACAGAACACCACCATCAGCAGCATCTCTCCCACCGTGTTCAAAACTGAAAGATGAAGGGGACAGACAGAATCACAGAAAGTAGAAAAGACAAATGAAGATCTGATCAACTGAACAACCTCCCCCCTGGGCCATCCACATTGGCCAGGCCCTGAAACAGAGGAAATTCCACTAGGAACGAGTCTGGGAGATTTAGGGTTAACTG